GTGGGTAATAAATGTATTATTATTATTGATTGACTTTAAAAGTGGATTCCTTTCTATCTTTTCTTTTGGTTTCTCAATCATTTAGATTTTTTTTTCTTCCACCCTATGGTTTACTTCTAATTTTGACATTGACAAATAAATATCTTAACAGGTTTATATTTCCAAACTTTGACACAAAGTCTTTCCCTTTTCATCAGATATAAATATATTGGTCAAAAAGGGTTTTCATTCCTCAAAGAATGTGTCCAAGGACTTATTCCTCCACAGCATCAATCACGTGTCCGTTTCTACTCTTTCCCACATCTCTGTGGTTTCCTGGAAGAGGTTTATCCATCTGGAATGTGGCTGCCCTGCTGTTTTGTAGTGCTTTCTGCTTGACGAAACCTCATGGTCTTCTTAACTGACTGTGTCGCCTGGTAAGAAATCTTTTTAACCCAAATATATGGATAGGCCCCAAGTGCAAATGCTTCAGTTCAATCACCTTCACTTCTAGCAAGAATTCCAAATCACAAAGCAGTTGCTTATAGTTTTTTTTGTGTGCATCCTATTGCTATCCCAAGTGGTTTTCCCCCATTGCTTCCTATCCTAAAGTTAACAGAAGAGGTGTGGGTTAGAAACCTAGAGCTTTTGCACAATCAGTGACCTATGATGACTCTTGGAAACAGCTTTGGGTGTGACTTTCAGCTGACTTATGACTTATGATGACTTATGGTTTTCTTGGGAAGATTTCCTCAGAAGAGGTTTGCCATGGTTCTCCTCTGAGGCTGAGAGAGTGTGACTCACCCAGAGAACAAGGATTTGATCCTTGGCGTCCAGTCCTAATCCAATTACACAACAAAAAGTGCTATACACTTATTTTTGTGTAATTAAGCATTTATTTTGGGTAGGTATTATAAGTTTATGATATTGTTTTACTTATTGTATTGATTTGGTTTGTCTGTCAGTTTGTTTTATTATGGCATTGAATGTTTGCCACTTTTGTTTGGATACTGCCCTGAACCCCCCTGGGGTTAAAAATAAAGTTGTTGCTGTTCTTGTTATTACTCTTAATATTATTATACACATAAAGTGCTGCACAGTTTTCAAAGGAAGAGGGCAAAAGTAGGAACGTAGCTTTCATTCTTATTTAAGAGAAAAGAGCAGGATGTAAATAAACATGCTAATAATAATAATACTAACAACAAGTGGGATTGTAGCTTATTGAAATGTGATCACTATTCTCTTGAAATCAGATATATTAGGAAGCCATTCTACATATCAGTATTAGAAGGGGCTATGTTTACAAGATGTCGAGAAGAGCAGGATGTAAATAAACTTGCTAATAATAATACTAATAACAAGTGGGATTGCAGCCTATTCAAATGTGATCACTATTCTCTTGAAGGCAGATACATTAGGAAGTTATTCTACAGCAGGCATATTAACACGAAGAGGGGCTATGTGTAGAAGCTGCCTAATCTATCAAAACCAAAGTATGTTTGCTTGTGTGTCTGTTTGTAGCACAAAGGCCATTGTTAGGGAAAGTGATCCTTTAAGATGTCACTGGAGTGGCTATTGCTAGTCGAAGTGTCCCTCTGTGATGTCACTGGGAAAGAAAGATGACCAGTGTATGAGGGGGAAGGAGAGAGGGAGGAAGGAAGGACTCATAGAAAGAACTGTCATGGAGGCACTGTGAGGGAATGCCTTCTCAGAGTTGGAGAAGGGAGAAAGGAGACAGGCAACACCAGGGATATATGCTAGTTCTCTTATAATTAAACACATTGGGATGCTATTCTACAGGAAGCATATCAATATTTAGAGTGATTATATGTGTAAATTTCAGAGCTAGAGAAGGAAAGGGAGGAAAAGGAAAAAAAAAGAAGGAAGGGGAGGAGAAAGTAAAAGGAAAGAGGGAGAAGGAAGAAGGAAAGGAAAGAGGGAAGAAAGGAAAAAGAAGGAAGGAAAGGAGAAAGAAGAAAGGAAGAAGGAAGTAAGTAAGGAAGGAAGGAAGGAAGGAAGGAAGGAAGAAGGAAAAAGGAAGAAAGGGAAGAAGGGAAGGGAAGGAAGGAAGGAAGGAAAAGGGGAAGAGGGATGAGAGGAGGGAACGAGAGAGGGGGACGAAAGCAGTGGACCGTGCGCCCTCTAACAATTGGGCAAAACCATTGGGTAGATTCCCTAGTAGAGAAATAAAGTGCACCCCCCCCCCCAAAATACTGGTGAATGGAAACACTAGAGAAGTGTGCTGCAAAACGGTGCTGTACTCAACTGCCCTACTTTCCCCCCTTTTGTCTCACCCAGAGGCTTCCCACTCACACTCTTCTGCTGTGCAAAGCCTTCTCTTTCACTTAAGAAAAACCTGCACTGTCTCACCGCTGCCCTATTTAGAGCATGCCGCTTGAGGCACGCTCCTCATTCCTGGCTGTTGCTGCTGCTGCGTGGAACAAGCCCTATCTTTTAGAGAGAGAGAGAAAAAACCCTCTGAAAATAGGATGTGGAGGTCTAGAATTAGCACTCACTGAAAACATACCGAGAAAAAAAACTCATCGAAGACGATGACGCATCATACACTCTGTTCATTTTTTAAAAACACACACAACACTTAAGAAATTCTGCGAAACATCTTCATTGGAAGTAAAACTGCTGTGGCAGAAAAGGAAGAGAGAGAAAAAGGGCAAAGCAGCCACAAACTCCTGACCACAACTTTCCTAGTAACAAAACCCACTTAAAAGAAAAACCAGAGGAGCCTCGTGAAAACAGTCATCTTTGTTTTCGTGTGTAAGAGATTTGTGTGCGTGTGTAACAGGTCTTTTTTTTTATCAGTGAGTAATGCAAGGTCACTAGCAAAAAGCAGCTGAGATGAGAGGGACACGACAGCCATGTTTAAATATCCAAAAGGTGGTCACATCAAGGAAGGGGAAATAATGACTTATGCATCTCCAGAGACTAGAATATGAGGTAATGGATTCAATTTGCAGGAAGGAAGATGCCAGGTAAACATTAGGAAGAACTTCTTGATTGTTGGACACTGGAATCCAATGGACTCTCCCTCTCTGAGGTTTTTAAGCAGAGGCTGGATGGTGTCATGGCAGGAATGGGGTTAGATTGGGTGGCCTTTGGGGTCTCTTCCAACTTTTAGATTGTATGAGATGAAGCGTAACAAAGGCGCTGACAAAGGCACCACAAACTCAAATCAAGGCTCCATCCAGTCCAACCCCATTCTGCCAGGCAGGAAAAGCACAATCAAAGCACCCCCGACAAATGGTCATCCTGCCTCTGCATAATAATGATAATGATAATAGAACCATAGAATCCTAAGTTAGAAGAAACCCCAGGGGCCATCCAGTCCAACCCCCTTCTGCCTTCATGCAGGAAAAGCACAATCAAAGCACCCCTGAAAGATGGCTTCTGCTTAATAATAACAACAACAACAACAATAGCAGCGTCTCCTTTAAAATAACAACAACAATAACATAGAACCATTGAATCCTTAGAAGAGACCCCAGGGGCCATCCAGTCCAACCCCCTTCTGGCTTCATGCAGGAAAAGCACAATCAAAGCACCCCTGAAAGATGGCCTCTGCTTAATAATAATAATAGCCTCTGCTTTAAAATAATAATAATAACATAGAACCATTGAATCCTAAGATTGGAAGAAACCCCCTGGGCCATCCAGACCAACCCCTTTCTGCCTTCATGCAGGAAAAGCACCATTAAAGCATCCCCAGCAGATGGCTATCCAGCCTCTATTTAAAAGCCTTCAAGGAAGGAGCCTCCACCACACTCCGGGGCAGAGAGTCCCACTGCTGAACAGCTTTTCCAGATGTTCAGGTGGAATCTAATGTCCTGCCATTTGAACCCATTGAGTCCTTATCTCTTGGGGAGCAGAAAACAAGCCTGGTCCCTTTTCCTTATGGCATCCTTTCAGCTATTTATGTCTCCTTCCCTTCTGGAGGCGAAACATACAGACAAAGTAGAAGCCTCAATGTCAGTCTAAGGAACCCAAGGAGTTGACAGAACCAGGCAGAGACGCACAGCACGTACCGAACTTTTCTGGATGTCCTGCTCCACTTTGGAGAAAAACCTGGAGAGGTCCCCGTTCAGAATCACTTCCGCCAATGAATTCACCAGCGGAGCATAGTGGATAATTAGGAAAACCTACAAAGAAGGGGCAAAGAAGTAGAAAAAGAGCATTAAAGTTTTGGTTTGTTTTTTTCGTGTCAGGAGCAACTTGAGAAACTGCGTTAAATTGGAATCCATGCACAATGGGGGACAGAATCCAATAGGATCTATTAGTGATAGAAATGGGAGTGCATTTACACTGTAGGAATAATGCAGTTTGATACCACCATGGCTCAATGAGATGGAAACTTGGGAATTGTAGTATGGACAGGCGCCCGGTCTATTTGGCAAAGAACACAAATGGAAAATGACAACTCCCACAATCCCATAGCATTGAGCCATGACAATTAATGTTATAGAACCATAGAGTTGGAAGAGACCACATGGGACATCTAGTCCAACCCCCTTCTGCCCTGCAGTAAAAATCAAAGCACCCCCAAAAGACAGCCAGTGTGAGTTTACATTCATTCTCAAGCCACTTCTTCAGAAACAGAGTGAAATCCACCACAAGATATATATCAAATGAACTAACAAAGAATCTTGGCAATCTTTCTTGAGAATTGGTGGTTAAGGCTAAGTTTATCTGATACTAACTAACCATCGGTCTCACCCACTAATTCCCGAGAAACGCTGTGTTTAAATAATAATAACACACCAATCACTGGCTGCAAAGTTTGGAGACCTACTTGTGACAAGAGGTACAGGGAAACCTGGAGGCTGATCTTCGGCCGTTCCTCAGCCTAAGAAGCAAGGAAAAAAAGAAAAAGAGGGAGTTTATCAGGAACTGGGTTAATGTCTTAATTCAGTTTTGGATGGTGCTGGCCTTTGAGAACCCAAATTCTGAATCCCTGCCCAACCATGGAAGACCTTAAGCAATTCACACTGCCTTAGCCTCAAAAGAAGGCAGAAGCCAACCACCACTGGATTACATCTTGCCCAAAACTCAAAAACAGGCTGCCATGAGTCAGAATTACTTAGGAAACATCTGGGCAGCTTTTCACCTCTGGCCTTTCTCTCTCATCTTAGCTTTCAAGCATGTTTATTGTAGACACTGATAATATGAATAAATAAAGGTTATTATTATGGTTACTATGATTATAGGCTTGAGTGGCAGGATTTCATTTCTCTGGAATAAGCAGTCATTCAAGAATAAACAGAATAATTGCATGTTTGGGATGAACTGGATTTTGCAAGAAGGTGCAGCTAGGGAATAACTCTTTATACAGTCAGTTTTAAATTCATGTCCTGTGTTTACTGCATTTTAACCTTTGTTTGATATTATTTTAATCTAGGTACGTATTTTATAGAAACACGTTTTAATATATGTGTTTTACATAATGTTTTAGCATGATGTGTTTTTTAATGATGTCCCACCTTGAGCCACGAGGAGTGGTCGGTAAGAAATAACAACAACAACAACAATGTGACAGAGTAGGGACAGAGATGGGTAAGAAAAAATATATTATTATTATTAATAATAATAATAATAATAATAATAATAATAATGTGACACAAGCATCCTGCGTTTATTATATTTTAATTTTTGCTCTGTGTATTTTAATACACAGAAATATAATAAAAATAAATAAAATAAACATAATAAATAAATAAATAAAGAGCAACACTCAAAAAGCAAAGGAATTCCAGACAATAACCAATCAGGGCCAGCTAACAACTCGCAACAAGGGATTCCCCCAGACAGCAACCTGCCAGGCTTTGAAGCTGCAAGGTCAATAAATGCTAATCAAGGTGGCCAATTGCAACATTCACAGTTGCTTCAAGCAGACACGAGTTCTTTCTCCCACCCTGGACATTCCACAGATATATAAACCTCATTTTCCTAGTTTCCAACAGACCTCACAACCTCTGAGGATGCCTGTCATAGATTTGAGCAAAACGCCAGGAGAGAATGCTTCTGGATCATGGCCACACACCCCGGAAAATTCACAGCAATACAGAAACATTATTTTTTATTATTATTACTAGCCGTCCCCTGCCACGCGATGCTGTGGCCCACATGGGGGTTCTGTGTGGGAGGTTTGGCCCAATTCTATCATTGGTGGGGTTCAGAATGCTCTGTGATTGTAGGTGAACTATAAATCCCAGCAACTACAACTCCCAAATGTCAAGATTCTATTTTCCCCAAACTCCACCAATGTTCACATTTGGGCATATTGAGTATTCGTGTGGAGTTTGGTCCAGATCCCTCATTGTTTGAGTCCACAGTGATCTCTGGATGTAGGTGAACTACAACTCCAAAACCAAAGGACACTGCCCACCAAACCCTTCCAGTATTTTCTGTTGGTCATGGGAGAACTGTGTGCCAAGTTTGGTTCATTCCATCGTTGGTGGGGTTCAGAATGCTCTTTTATTGTAGGTGAACTATAAATCCCAGCAACTACAACTCCCAAATGACAAAATCATTTTTTTGAGTTGTTAGGTGTCTTGTGTCCAAATTTGGTGTCAATTCGTCCAGTGGTTTTTGAGTTCTGTTAATCCCACAAATGAACATTACATTTTTATTTATATAGATAAAGGGACAGACTATTAGCCTATTCATTTGCTCACCTTATCTTGGTTCACCAAGGAGTATACATAAAGAGGCAGGAAGAGGCTATTCAGTAAGTGGTCAGTGAGCACATCATTTAGGAATTCACAGTTAATGATAAGGATATCATTCAGGTAATGAAGGTGGTCTAGGTGCTCTGCAACTAGGTCGCTGAGCTTGCCCCTGTTTCTGTGCCTGAAAAATAAGAAAACATTGAAGAAACACCTATACAATCTGGTAAGGAAATTGGTGATTTCTTCCTCCCACAATTCTTTTCAGCCCAAAATAATGAAACTAACTGTACTCTCGCAATCTCCCATAAAAGGTGGGGATGCCTCTTCCTGCAAAGAGGATGTCAGGCCTATGGATAATTGACCAAGATGTCTTTCTTCCATTATGTCAGGTAATGATTTAGCAACAAGGACTGAATGGGCTTACTCTTCGTCCGTTTTCACACAGTTGTCCAGTTCTATCACGTGGCTCCCGATAAACCAGACCAGATTGGAGAAGTAAGGGACGGCGGTTTTATCCCGGATGTAGTGCAGCATCGGCTGGTTATCCACTGGGGAGAAAACCATTTTTAAAAATATCTGCTTCCAGAAGAGGAGGAAACACAAATAAAACTAAAACATTGTAGTTAACAAGTAATCCCTTTCTGTGGTCTGCCCCGTAATCTGTTCTCTTTCATGCTGAATTAGCTAACAGAGTATACATAGAGATTATACATTGCCAAGAGGAAAACTCCAGGCCATGTTTAACTGCTGGAAACAGCTCGCGGCATCTAGGCAGAGCCAAGGAAAACCTCTCAAAAGGAAGGTAAATAAAAGAAATATAAGGCGGAAATGTCATAAGTGATTCAGCGGACTTACATGACACTGTGATAAGGCACACAGCAATCATCAGTGAAGAAAGGGCGAAAGGAGACAAAAACAGACAGCGGTTAAATGGGGTTAGGAACCAGGAAGGCAGGGCATTCTCCAAAGCGTCCAGGAGCTAAAGCAGGAGGCATCTAGGCTTAGAAAAGACAGGGTTAGGAGCAGCAGAAACATCCATGCACCCTAAGACGTGCCAGCAAAAAGGGAGACCCTCCCAGTCTTACCCCCACATGGATCCCATTTTCTTCCCAAAAGTCTATAGTGCTTTCTGACCCTTTTCGTTTGACAAGAGAACACCACGAGGCCTTTCTCTGCTTTAAGAGGTCTGACATACAGAGAGACATGGGGGACTCTTCCACTAAAGTTTATTTGCTTTAGCTATTTTTAAAAATCTGAGATGTCTTACCAGCATAAACAAATGTACATGTTTACCTTCCTATAGCCTTCCCAGGGTATCATCTTGCATATTTTCTCTCCTGTTTCCTACCATAAGCTCACATACAGTGCCAGCTTCCCTCGAGATACCAAAATGTTTTAGGTCTTTGAAATAGATTTTTAATTGCTTTATCTATTCATTTTAAATTACTTTGAGATTTAATTCTATTCTAATGTTTACAGTCTTTACCTTTTAAATTATCTATCATATTGTTTTTAATATTGTTTGCCACTTTGGGTCTCTTTTAAGAGAGAAAAAGCAGAATAATGACAATAACAATGCTGTATTTCATCAATTGTATGATGCCATCGATTGTAAGACACAACATAATTTCAGTAACATGATCACCAACAAAAATACATTAAGATACACCTACAATTATTAGGCATACCTCAATTTTAGAGATGTTTAAGTAGGAAAAAAGTGCACCTTGGACTTGAAATAATAATAATAATAATAATAATAATAATAATAATAATAATAATATCAACAACAAAGTAAAAACCTGGCTTTGGGATCAGGCTTTTGGAGAATAGTGCAGTGCAACAACAGATCTGGAATATGTGCAATGATTATGGAACATCTTTGGACTATGATTATGATTATCATTTATATTGAATGTGATGTTTTAAAATGTTTTAAACGCTTAGTATGTATTAATTTTAATTTAATTTCAATTCTAATTTTAATGTTACTGGAATTGTATGTGTTTCAAGGCATCGAATAATTGCCTATATGTAAGCTGCCTTGAGTACCCTTCGGAGTAGAGAAAGGCAGGGTATAAATAGAGTAAATAAATAAACAAACAACAACGCCATGCAACAAAATTTGCAAAAAATTCTGTTCCTGGTTTGAAAGTGTTTGTTCCTGTTTAATTCCTGTTTAATTGGTCCTTACTTTGAAAGTAGTTGTTCTACTCCAGAAACATCGTTGTTTTTGTGACTGCCACAAACTATGTTGTATTAGTTGAGACTTGATGATATATTCATTGAAAAACTAGAGCAAAATGTGCTGCAGGATGTCTCTCCCACAAAGACAAACCTTTTCCATGTTTTTATGATAGTACCAATTAAGAAATGACAGTTATAACCCAGGAACAGAAATCGTGTTACAGAGTGTAATCAATTCCTACACTCAATACCCACCATGTGACCCCTTGCGGTTAAGAACATCATCTTTCAAGGAATGTATCTGTGCTCAATTCTGGGCACCTCATTTTAGGGAGGATATAAGGAAGATGGGGCAGGTTGAGAGAAGGGCAACGAGGATGCCAAGCAATATGGATAGCAAAACGTGGGAGGAAAGGTTGAGAGAGCTGGCATCTTCAGCTTGGTGAAGAGAAGGCAGAGGGAGGACATGAAGGGTATCTTTAATTATCTAAACCAAGCATGGGAAAACTTCAGCCCTCCAGGTGTTTTGGACTACAACTCCCATCAATTCCTAATCGCTACTGATTGAAATTAACTATGAGTGCTATCAAGGAGGGAGCTCTCAGCGGAACTTAGAGGGAAAGACCAGATCCAATGGTTTGAAGCTAATGTTCTCATGATGAACATTACAATGAGCCTGAGCTGTTTGAGAGAGGAACCAATTCCCCAAAGAGATTGGTCCCCAACTCTCAACAGACTCCAGATACTCTACTACAAAGCAGGGGAAAAGCAAGGCCCTTATTTCCTGTGAATGGAAATACTTTTGTTGCAGAGTGACATGTTCTTCATTGATGAACGGCTGTAGTTGCGTGACACGGACACGTAGCAAGTGGAAAGCAAAACAGAAAACCTGCAGCACCTTGAAGCCTGGCCTACTTTATCTGGCAAGAGGCTTCATGTATTTCTGAAGGAAGCTGCTGCCTGTGATGCGGGTGCCAAATAAAACCTGCTCATCTCAAAGGAGTCACGGGACTTTGTCCTTTCTGCTGCCGCAGACTTCCACGCCTACGCTCTTGAAAAACAGTAGTCAAGTCAACAGATGTTTCTGTGTTTATGTATAGATGTAAAATCTAGGCAAGCATGACCTCTAGTGGCAATGGCCAGGGAACTCTTTCACGTATGTCCCATTGCATTTTCAATGGGAGAAGAAAAGAGGGCCAAAGATCCAACTGTGGGCTTTGAATCTGGCTAACCTCTTCTCTCTCATTTCAGAGCCTTGTAACAATAAAACCCATTAGAGATTTTTTTTATAATCCACAGAAGTGGGTTTTTGTAGGATTTGGAGAAAGGGCTGCTGGGAGAAGATTCAGCAGGAAAACAGTACTGAATTATAGCCAGTGATTCAGAACAAAAAGGCTTTCATGAGTCTAATACAGGCTTTTATAAAATACCATTTTGCCTTGTCAAACAATACTATGGTAAACCTGCAATGCGGTCAAGGCTGGAGCCACCTCACTCTGTATGACCTATTTAACTTTCTGAGGGTTCAAATTTCAGGAAACATACCTTTGTAGACATTCAGTGTTATTGTCCGGACTGCAATCCTGACCATACTTTCAGGGTGGTTGAAGAATTTAATGGCCTCCGTATACAAAGCAAAGTCATTTGTGTGCTGAAAAAGAAGAGAGGGATTATTGGGCTCGTGGTTTTCTAGTTGCGTCCTTCAATCCATTTTCCTCCAATAGGATGCAATAGAAATCAACAAACAGCAAAATCTCAACAGTGTAAGGACCCTAGAAGCATTAAACTGAAGATCTATCTTTCATGACACGTCAACTAATTCAAAAGGAGCAAGAGAGAGAAAAATGTGATATACCCATATATACTCAAGTATAAGCTGACCTGAATATAAGCCGAGGCACCTAATTTTATCACAAAACTGGGAAAACATATTGACTTGAGTATGAACTGAGAGTGGGAAATGCAGCACTTACTGGTAAATTTCAACATAAAAATAGATAACCATAAAATTACACTGAGGAATCAGTAGGTTAAATGTTTTTGAATATTTACGTAAAACTGTAATTTAAGATAAGACTGTCCAACTCTGATTAAACCATTATTCTAACTTTCCTCAATGTAAATGTGTTTACATATCCTTCCAATAATAACAGAGTAAAATAATAAATTTAATAATAATAGAGTAAAATAATGGAAATGTAATAACAGTAATAATAGAGTGAAATAGAGTAAAGTAATATATATAATAATAGAGTAAAATAATAAATGTAATAACAACAATAATAAAATAAAATAACGTAAATGTAATAATAATGTAAAATAATAAATGTAATAATAATAACAGAGTAAAATAATAAATAACCTTGACTCAAGTTTCTCAGCCCTTTTTTCAGCCAAAAAAGGGCTGAGAAACTCTGCTTATACTCGAGTATATATGGTATTTACCAATACTGTAGAGAGAGAAAAAGACAGTAATATGAGGCATGAATGAAATTCCAACTAAAGGAAGACAGCACAGCATTTTACACTTTTCACAATAACATTATTATTATATTATTATGTTTATTTATACCCTGCTTTTTCTCTCGACAACGGAGACTCCAAGTGGCTGACATTAAAAGCATTTCAATACATTTTAAAATCTACAAATATAAAACATTAAAACAATATTAAAGTATCACTGGTATTAAAAAAATCACAGTTTAAAATCCACAAAAACTGATTAAAAACATATTCTAAAACAGTGGCATCTGAATGTGGTATGAAGTTATTGGCCACTTACCTCATTGTAAAAGAAATGTACAGTGTGGTTGTTGAGCTTCAGGGAAAGTGTTTTCAAGAAGGAAATATAGTACGCCATGATCTCTTCATCAGAGAAGTCAAATTTATGCACGATGATAGAATTTACGTAGTTATTGGAGAGCAGATAGTCTGAAAGAGAGGGGAAGAAAACACATGTGTCATATATACACTGAGCCCATGCTTTCAAACTCAGAATCAAGATATTTAGACCAAGCATGGTGTCCCAAGGCGGCACATCATCAAGAGGAAGAAAACAGAGGGAACCAATGATATTCACCTGTAAATGGACATCCTGTGTTTACTACTACAACAACAACATTTATTATGGTCCAAAGATCCTTTTTGCTCTATAACTGTACAAAATATTCAAGGTTAATAAGATTAACAACAGCTGACTGATTTAACACACAGCTGGATGAAATTAGCAACAGTTAAAACGGATTAAAATATGGGATTAAAACGGATTGAAATCATACAAGGTGCTATGAACATAGGTAAAAGACTACAAAAGGCACCAGGCATGTTTCAGCCTGTGTCCAAAATTGAGAATTATCTAATCCTGGGTGCCTCGGAAAAATACTTGGCAACAGCCAGGGTCATGTGGGGATGATCATCACCAAGTAAAAACTACACATAAAATTTCACTGGACTGGCTGGTAGGTTTCTCAGTAGGGGATTAATTATGTGTGCTCAAGCTTGTTCATAAAAACTGCATGACTACCTGTTGCATGAATTTGGTAGATACATTCTACTTCCTGTCTGTTACATGGGCAAAGTCTTTCGTTATATGGGATACCCACAAATATCCCACACAACATTTGATTATGTTGTTTGTTTATGTTTTGGTTTTATTTTGCTGTAACATGTTGTCCGGGCTTGGCCCCATGTAAGCCGCTCTGAGTCCCCATTGGGGAGATGGTGGTGGGGTATAAATAATAATAATAATAATAATTATTATTATTATTATTATATATTACACTTTGCCTTGGAAAATAGACAGTGGTATTTGGCACAGTCAGGTTATTTACATAATTTGCTGCATGGAAAGGCCTAACATAATGTATGGACAGGGCACTTGGGGAGCAAGATACATATGAACAAGAGCACAGCTCAAAAAAAAGCAGTATCCCACAGTCTCTGTTTGATTGATTTGAGAACCATATCAAAACCCAGGTGAGTTAAGAAGGATGAGGAAAGGCCGATGGAGGAGGCTTTCTTATAGTTTATCTTAAACCAGCTGCTTATATGTTCATCCTGAGCTAAGTGGTGAATTAGATGGATCCTAGACTGAAAACTCTTATCTTGAGCCAATATTTAAGTGCTTACCATCAGGTTCTAATTGACAAAGGTGGTTCCTCGGATTCAAGTAGCAAGACACAAGATGGTACACATCTGGGGAACTGGAAGAGGGCTCTCAAAAACTGTGTTTGCTGTTGGTTTATTTTTGATGTTAAGCCATCAAGCACAGTGTTTACTATATTTTAATCTTTTTTCTGTGTATTTTATTAGATGTATTTCACAGAAATAAATTTCAAAGGCTCCTTCTTTGGAGGCTTTTAAACAGAGGCTGGATGGTCATCTGTCGGGGGTGCTTTGGATGCAATTTTCCTGCTTCTTGGCAGGGGGTTGAACTGGATGGCCCACGAGGTCTCTTCCAACTCTATGATTCTATGATTCTATATGTTTGACCTATGTTGTGTCCTGCCTCGAAGAGAGGCAGGTAAGATATAATAGTAGTAATAATAATAATAATACTCAGTACAAAGTTTCACCCTGCCAACCTGTTTGTTAAGGTTTGAATCTCCAGCTCTATTTAATCTCAGATAAGAGAAGCTTTAGCTTGGCGGAAGACACAGATGCACACACCCTTTGAACTGGAAAAACATGCCATAGTCATACAAAGCAAGCTTCTCCCAAGCAATCCAATACAAGCTCCCAAAACCAGCATGACTTTAGAAGGCACCGCATCCCTTCCAAATTTCTTTCTCTTGCTCCCCCTCCCCCCCCCCAAACTTTCAAGTTAACAAACAAAGAGCAAAAATAAGTATCTACAAATACTTGGAACCAGGAACCAAAGTTGTATAAAATCTTTACATACACACAAGTCTTTCATTTAAATTCTTGGTATTTCTTTTATATTTAGAGTGATTCCATTAGTTTGCGTTAGGAATAGCTGCTGAATGCATGCTGTAATACAGCTGCACTGCTCCAAGTCTTGGTTATTTATCTGTTTACCTAAAATGCTTGCAATATTGCTTTCCATTTTGTTGAGAAGTAATGGTTGGTTCCTTCATTTCATCCAGGAGAATCCTAGATTATACCTAAAACTGGTTTTGAATTGGTTTCAAGGATTTTAACTGGGTTTTTTTTTCAAATACCATTAATATTTAATTCTATTTTAAGGTTTGTATACTTTTGGGTTTTATATTGTATTGTACTGGTTTTATTGATAACCCACTTTGAGATAGAAAAACAACAAATACTCTATATGCTCATGTATAAGTCTATACATTTTAGTAAAAATAAATCAACTCAAAAACTTGGAACTACTTTTGCACAGGTCAATGTGACTATTGTACATTAAATCTTACCAAAAAAGGAACCATCCCCTTCTCTAAGTAGAATCATGACAGAAGAGAGCCTCAAGCCATGAAGAGAGGTAGGTAAGAAATAAAACTGTATTATTATTATTATTATTATTATTATTATTATTATTATTATTATCCACTCCCCTCTCCATGGAATAACCCTCAATGTATCCAGGGGTCATTAAGAAAAATCCATACTATTGGTCCTCCAAAATTCACTCTCGACTCACATGAGTCACTCACATGAGGCCAACTTATGCATGAATACAGGCAGTTGAGTTTAAAAAGACTTTTAGTTAAGAATGGGGCTAAGACAACAGGAAATGAGACAAATCTACTCCTCAGAAGGGAAATTCACTCCTCGAACTTATTATCATGGAGAAAAGGGGTCTCCACTAAAGCTTGATCTCCAATCCTTGTTTCAACAACAAGCCACATTTTTCAAATTCCCATTCCCATAAGAACAGAAAGTGGGGTGAAATCTTCCGAACAGGAGCACAGACAGCAAATCAAACACTACAGGGGTGTTAACGTGGCTGTGGAGTCAGGCTTTCAATGAATAAGACAACACCCTAGGATCCTGGATGGAAGTGGATATAGATCTGGTTTTAATACGACGACTGACCATCGTAGTTTTATATATAGTGTTATTTTAAATCTGTTACGGTAATTTGTGATATATGATATTTTAATGATTGTATGTTGTTTTTTATGTCTGGAAACCGGGCTGAGTCCCTTGATGAGGATGAGAAGCTTGGTATAGAAAACCTCAAAATAAATAAATAAATATTAACCCTTCCCTATGCTTTCAAAGCCACTTAAAACATGTACCTGTTCCAATTTACTGTATATATTTGAATATAAGCCAAGTTTTTCAGCCTTCTTTTAGGCTGAAAAAGCCCTCCTTAGATTATACTTGAGTCAAAGTTATTTATTATTTTACTTTATTATTATTATTACACTTATTATTTTACTCTATTTATTATTATTATTACATTTACATTATTTTACTCTATTTATTATTATTTTTATTACATTTATTATTTTACTCTATTTATTATTACATTTACATTATTTTACTCTATTATTTTTATTACATTTATTATTTTACTCTTATTATTACAAATATATTATTACGCTTATTATTTCATTCTATTATTACTGTTATTATTGCATTTCCATTATTTTACTCTATTATTATTATTTTATTACATTTATTATTTTATCTCTTTATTATTATTGGAAGGATACATAAGCACATTTACATTGAAGAAGGTTAGAATAATGGTTTAATCAGAGTTGGAGTCTTATCTGAAATTACAGTTTTATGTAATTTCAGAGTCTTATCTGAAATTACAGTTTTATGTAAATATTAAAAACATTTAACCTACTGATGCCTCAATTAATGTAATTTTATTGGTATCTATTTTTATTTTGAAATTGACCAGTAGCTGCTGCATTTCCCACCCTTGGCTTATGCTCGAGTCAATACATTTTTCCAGTTTTTTATGGTAAAATTAGGTGTCTTGACTTATATTTGGATCGGCTTATACTCTAGTATATACGGGTACATATAAATTCACCTTAAGAATAAACTTACAGAGCCTCTCTTGTTCATAACTTGAGGACTGCCTGTATATCTGGGAACAAAAGACAACTAGAACCAAGCAGCTTTGAGGAAGATGACATGAATGCGCTCACACTTACAGAGAGACGTTTCATGGCTAATGTTCTCAAAGAGGATGTTCAGCGTCTGTAGAAGCTGCACACAGACATACCGGCCAGACTTCTGACGCAGGATGTTCAAGAAGTACACAAACATGTTCTTCTCCAAGAAAAAGCTGGGGGGAAAGCATCAAAGGTTGATTTCTTGTGACATTTTATTGAAAGTGTCATTCTTGATTTGTAAATCACTGAGCCTTTGTTTCAGCAGCCGTTGTTTTACAAGGTCTTTCTGTCTGGTGTACTTTTAAATAGTTTGAAATCCATATATATATATATATATATACAACACACACACACACACACACACAAAACTAGCCGTCCCCTGCAACATGTTACTGTGGCCCAGTCAGTGTGTGTTTTGTGTGTGTATATATATGTGTGTATATGTATGTTTGCATATATATATGTGTTTTTGTGCATGTGTTGTAATTTTTTTTTTTTTTTTGCTTTTAAAGTCTTCTGCTGTGTTTTTCAGTATTTTATGAATGGTGGTCACTCGTTGGCCTGATATGTGTATTGTGTCCAAATTTGGTCTCAATTAGTCCAGTGGTTTTTGAGTTATGTTAATCCCACAAACAAACATTACATTTTTATTTATATAGATATATACTATATATATCTACAGGGACTATATATATCGACAGGGAGCTCTGGCGTGGGCTGGTCCATGAAGTTACGAAGAGTTGGAAATGACTGAACGAATGAACAACAACAACAAATACTATATATACATTTTAATGTTATTGGGGGAAGAGGGGTTGGAGTTAATCTTCAGCTCTTGTGATTTCTGGATTTCCTAAATATGTACAGAACTAGAGTCCATGTCACCAGATTAATGGTTGTGATTCTAAACATCATCCCCTTGGGAATAAGCAAAACTGAAACGAGTCAATGGATTTTTCATTATATATAACGCAAATTATTTTTTCCCCTCCTGCTGCAAGATCAAGCTTTTAAAGTACCATCCCACATACAAAGGCATTGCCATTCAAACTTACTCAAAGACTGAACTGTCATTTTGGTCTCCCCATATAAGGATCTCGGTTATAGAGCGAATGGTCTCCACTAACAGGTTGCGGTTGTGATCGGTCACAGTGGTATTTTTGGTCAAAACGTGGTACATATACCTCAATGGAGAAAAAGGGGGTGGGGGGAAAAAGGAAAGAGTTTATCTCAGATCACATCAAGGCAACGTTCATTTCTATTTATTTTTTGTATCTATTTGTGGCCTTCCTCTTTCAAGGCAGAAACCAACACAAATGGAAATAAAATGACGCTAAGGAGCAATTGCAAGGCAATGGATCAACTAAGAAACAAATGAACATACTTAGAAACAAAAACAAGGAATGAATGACTTCTAAACTGCTTTAAGAAACATAAACAAGAAATGTCTAGATGTCTGAAACCACTCTGCTGCTTTATTTGCAACAAAGAGAAACAAATTGTTTTAATTGTTTTCAGTTTTTAAAAAGCTACATATTTGGCCTTGACTTTGCAAAGATCCTTGGGCAAAAGGCCTCCTTTTCTGTTTGGAAGGAAATTAAAAGAGAACTTTAATAAGGCTAAACACTTGAGCAATCTTTAAAAATTATTGTTTACAATGACATTCTCGCCCGCATGCGATTTGTACATACGCACTCAAAGGATACAATTACACAAGAGAATGCATGGCTTTGTTTACTCCTGGCCTTCACAAGTGGCCTATCAGCTCCACAATCCACGTAGTCAAGAACCAAGGGAATTATAGTCCCATTTATTCCCTTTCAGGGGGGCATTGGACCCAGTATTGACCAAAGCCCTGAACGGTTTGGGACCAGCCTACCTGCGTGACCGCATCTCCATCTACGAACCCACACGTTCTCTTCGGTCATCTGGAGAGGCCCTGCTCGTGATCCCACCGGCGTCGCAAGCGCGCTTGGTGGGGACGCGGGACAGGGCCTTTTCCGTGGTGGCCCCCCCGACTCTGGAACACCCTCCCCAAAGACCTTAGACAGGCCCCTACATTGGCTGTCTTCAGAAAGAACTTGAAGACCTGGCTTTTCCGATGCGCCTTCCCAGATTAGGAAATCTCCACTACCAAGTCCCATAAGCACTTTATCAGAACCAATGATTGCTGCACATCGCACATCGCACTTGCCCTGGAAGCCCTATATACACCTCCTGTCACATCAGCACTTTTAATCTTGTACCCATTGCTCTGGCCCGGCCCAGTTTTATTGTGTTTACTGTATTGTGCCTGTTGTTTATTTTGCTTTATTCTGTTTTTAATTGTTTGATTTGCTTAGATTGTATTGTTGTGTTGTGTGTTGAGGTCTCGGCCTGTGTAAGCCGCATCGAATCCTTCGGGAGATGCTAGCGGGGTACAAATAAAGTTTAATAATAATAATAATAATAATAATAATAATAATAATGGCTGAGGAGAATGGAACGTGTAGTCCTATCAACCCCAGTATCTTACTACAGACAAGGAACAAGGGGTTTGTAGTCCCATTTATTCCTTCTCAGGGGGCCCATAGGACTCAGAATTGATCATGGCCAAGGAGAATGGAACGTGCAGTCCTATCAACCCCAGTATCCACTACAAGGAACATGGGGTTTGTAGTCCCATTTATTCCTTCTCAGGGGGCCCATCAGACTCAGAATTGACCATGGGCGAGGAGAATGGAACTTGTAGTCCTATCAACCCCAGTATCCACTACAGACAAGGAACAAGGGGTTTGTAGTCCCATTTATTCCTTCTCAGGGGGCCCATAGGACTCAGAATTGACCATGGGCGAGGAGAATGGAACTTGTAGTCCTATTAACCCCAGTATCCACTACAGACAAGGAACAAGGGGTTTTTAGTCCCATTTATTCCTTCTCAGGGGGCCCATGGGACCCATAATTGATTATGGTTGAGGAGAATTGAACCTGCAGTCCTATCAACCTCAGCATATACTACAAGCAAGGAGTATGATGTTTCACTACAGACGAGGAACAAGGGGTTTGTAGTCCCATCTATTCCCTTTCAGGGGGCCCACTGGACCCAGAATTCCGGCCCAGGTCACCTGTCTGAACCTATCTCCCATTACAAACCATCACAAAGTTTAAGATCAGCTGGAGGCCCTGCTCTTGATCCCACCACCATCGCAAACGCAGACTAGTGGGGACATGGCCTTCTCAGTGGTGGCAGATGACACCAAATTGGGAGGGATAGCCAATACTCCAGAAAACAGGAGCAGAATTCAAAACTATCTTAATGGATTGGAGAGATGATTGGCCAAAACTAACAAAATTAACTTCAACAGTGTCAAATGCAAGATACTCTACTTAGGCAGAAAAAAATGAAATGTAAAGATACAGAATGGGGGATGATGCCTGGCTTGAGAGCAGGATGTGGGAAAAAGATCTTGGGAGTCTTCGTGGACAACAAGTTAAACATGAGCCAACAATGTGATGCGGTGGCAAAAAAAGCCAATGGGATTTTGGCCTGCATCAATAGGAGTCTAGTGTCTAGATCTAGGGAAGTCATGCTACCCCTCTATTCTGCTTTGGTTAGACCACACCTGGAATATTGTGTCCAATTCTGGGCACCACAATTCAAGAGAGATATTGACAAGCTGGAATGTGTCCAGAGGAGGGCGGCTAAAATGATCAAGGGTCTGGAGAACAAGCCCTATGAGGAGCGGCTTAAAGAGCTGGGCATGTTTAGCCTGAAGAAGAGAAGGCTGAGAGGAGATATGATAGCCATGTATAAATATGTGAGAGGAAGCCACAGGGAGGAGGGAGCAAGCTTGTTTTCTGCTTCCTTGGAGACTAGGACGCAGAACAATGGCTTCAAACTACAAGAGAGGAGATTCCATCTGAACATTAGGAAGAACTTCCTGACTGTGAGAGCCTGTTCAGCAGTGGAACTCTCTGCCCCGGAGTGTGGTGGAGGCTCCTTCTTTGGAAGCTTTTAAACAGAGGCTGGATGGCCATCTGTCAGGGGTGCTTTGAATGCTTCTTGGCAGAATGGGGTTGGACTGGATGGCCCATGAGGTCCCTTCCAACTCTATGATTCTATGTGGTCTATCCAATGCAATTTTCTGAATCAGAACCCCAAATAACCAAAGCGAATCTAAAGTTGACCAAAAACTGATTCCTACCCCTTTGGGGACTAATATTGGAGAGTGGTCTCTGGTCAAAGTAATCTCTGGTAGAGTCCTAGAATCAAAGAGTTGGAAGAGACCTCCTGGGCCATCCAGTCCAACCCCATTCGGCCAAGAAGCAGGAATATTGCATTCAAATCACCCCTGACAGATGGCCATCCAGCCTCTGTTTAAAAGCTTCCAAAGAAGGAGCCTCCACCACACTCCGGGGCAGAGAGTTCCACTGCTGAACGCCTCTCACAGTCAGGAAGTTCTTACTCATGTTGAAATGGAATTATTATTAGTAGTATTATTAAACTTTATTTATACCCTGCTAGCATCTCCCGAAAGACTCGATGTGGCTTACAAAGGCCAAGGCCTCAACATAACAACAACAAACAATAACAATGCAAGCAAATTAAAAACATAAGCAATAACACAACAAAACATTAAACTATTACACAATAAAATCAGGTCCGGGCCAATGATGGGTACAGGTTAAAAGTGCTGGGTGTGTGAGGTGGTATGTTGGAGTTCTGGGCAAGTGCAATGTGCAGAGAGTCTTAAACTCTAATAAAGTGCTTCTGGGACAGAGTGCTGGAGGTTATCCTATTCTGGAAAGGCACATCGGAATAACCAAGTCTTCAAGACTGCCAACGTGGGTGCTAATCTAATGTCTTTGGGGAGGGTGTTCCAAAGTCGGGGGGCAACCACAGAGAAGGCCCTGTCCCTCGTCCCCACCAAACGCGCCTGCGACACAGGTGGGATCGCGAGCAGGGCCTCTCCGGATGAACGAAGTGAGGGCGTGGGTTCGTAGATGGAGATGCGGTCACGCAGGTAGGCAGGTCCCAAACCATTTAGGGCTTTGTAGGTAAGCACCTGCACCTTGAATTGGGCTCGGTAGGTAAATGGCAGCCAGTGGAGCTCCTTAAACAGGAAGGTTGACCTCTCTCTGTAAGGAGCGCCAGTTAACAACCTGTCTTGTAGTTTGAAGCCATTGTTCCGCGTCCTAGTCTCCAGGGAAGAAGAAAACAAGCTTGCTCCCTCCTCCCTGTGGCTTCCTCTCACATATTTATACATGGCTATCATATCCTCCTCTCAGCCTTCTCTTCTTCAGGCTAAACATGCCCAGCTCCTTAAGCCGCTCCTCATAGGGTTTGTTCTCCAGACCCCTGATCTGCTCCCTCCTCCCTGTGGCTTCCTCTCACATATTTATACATGGCTATCATATCTCCTCTCAGCCTTCTCTTCTTCAGGCTAAACATGCCCAGCTCCTTAAGCCGCTCCTCATAGGGCTTGTTCTCCATACCCTTGATCATTTGAGTCGCCCTCCTCTGGACACATTCCAGCTTGTCAATATCTCTCTTGACAACCTCCACTAGCTAAACCAGAGCCAAGGGTCTGTAATCCCACTAGGCCCCAAACCACAGCACCGGCTTCTCCTCACTTGAGGTGTTCGAGGGAGTGGATGTTCTTGGCGGCCTTGCCCTGGCCGCCGCCTCCGCCTCCACCCCAGCTCCGCGACCGCCCGAACATCGCCGCCTTCCTCCGCCTCCGCCTGCTACGCTCCGAAAGGCCGCTCAGCCTCCGCCGCCGGAGCTCCGTCCTCTCCCTCGGACCTTCGCCGCCGCCATTCTCCCCTCAGCCCTGACATTCCGCTTCGGGGACAGACTGCGCAGGCGCGCAAGGCGCCTCGCCGCAGCGCACGCTGGGAAGTTGAGTCTCCCTAGCTCAAGGCTCCTATAGCAAAAGCGACTCAAAGGACTACCACTCCCAGAATGCATCGAGGGGAGAAACTGCAACAAACCCGGAAGCATAGGGAGAAGAGGCGGAGGTTTTCGCCAGCTGACTGAAGAAGAGCGTTTGTGACTTGGAAAGGGGAGTGGGCGGGGCTTGTAGGTGGATGGGTCTGCGCATGCGCAGGGCAAGCTGAGACCTTAGAATAGGAATGGGACAACTTGGGCCCTCCAGGTGTTTTGGACTTCAACTCCCACAATTCCTAACAGCCGGTAGGCTGTTAGGAATTGTGGGAGTTGAAGTCCAAAACACCTGGAGCTTGGGATATAATGATGTAAATGATAAGTAGTAAAAAAAACATAAACCATAATCCAAAATTCAAAACTATTGTATTACTATCTATAATCATTATAATTATGAATCATTATTAATTATTATTTTAAAAATATTATATTATGATATATTTTTATTATTATTAATGTAAGTGATAAGTAGAAAAATTACATAAACCATAATCCAAAATTTAAAACTATTGTATTACTATCTATAATCATTATAATTATGAATCATTATTAATTATTATTTTAAAATATTATATTATATTATATTATAATTTTTATTATTAATAATAATGTAAATGATAAGTAGAAAAATTACATAAACCATAATCCAAAATTTAAAACTATTGTATTGCTATCTATAATCATTATAATTATTAATCATTATTAAGTATTATTTTAAAAATATTATATTATTATATTATAATTTATTATTATTAATGTAAGTGATAAGTAGAAAAAATACATAAACCATAATCCAAAATTTAAAATTATTGTATTACTATCTATCATTATAATTATTAATCATTATTGATTATTATTATTTAAAAATATTATTATAATATTATAATTAGGTTCTTGTGGGTTTTTTCGGGCTATAGGGCCATGTTCTAGAGGCATTTCTCCTGACGTTTCGCCTGCATCTATGGCAAGCATCCTCAGAGGTAGTGAGGTCTGTTGGAATTAGGACAATGGGTTTATATATCTGTGGAATGGCTGGGTGGGGCAAAGAGCTCTTCTCTGCTGGAGCTAGGTGTGAATGTTTCAACTGACCACCTTCATTAGCATTTGAAGGCCTGGCTGAGCCTGGGAAAATCTTTTGTTGAGAGGTGTTAAGATGTGCCTGGTTGTTTCCTCTCTGCTGTTTTGCTGTTGTAATTTTAATACTGGCAGCCAGATTTTATTCATTTTCATGGTCTCTTCCTTTCTGTTGAAATTGTCCACATGCTTGTGGATTTCAATGGCTTCTCTGTGTAGTCTGACATGGTGGTTGTTGGTGTGGTCCAGCATTTCTGTGTTCTCAAATAATATGCTGTGTCCAGGTTGGTTCATCAGGTGCTCTGCTATGGCTGATTTCTCTGGTTGGAGTAGTTTGCAGTGCCTTTCATGTTCCTTGATGCGTGTTTGGGCAATGGGTGCAATACCACCTAAGCAGTGTAATTTCTCCAGTGGTGTAGGGCGCAGACACCCCGTGATAATGCGGCATGTCTCATTAAGAGCCACATCCACTGTTTTAGTGTGGTGAGAAGTGTTCCACACTGGGCATGCATACTCAGCAGCAGAGTAGCATAGCGCAAGGGCAGATGTCTTCACTGTATCTGGTTGTGATCCCCAGGTTGTGCCAGTCAGCTTTCGTATGATATTGTTTCTAGCACCCACTTTTTGCTTGATGTTCAGGCAGTGCTTCTTGTAATGTCAGAAGAAACCTTTACCTTTAACCTTTATGCCATTATAACAATATTTACTAATTTTATTTATAATTATAATTACTTACATTTATAATTAATATAAATAAGAATAATTCATAATAATTATAAATGTAAGTAATTATAATTATAAATAAAATTAGTAAATATTGTTATAAATATTGTTTGGGGTTTTTTTTTTTTTTGGTTTTTGGTTTTTGGTTATTGCTAGATTGATATTTTAGATTGTGTCTTGAATTTTGAACCTTGTTTTTTCTATGTTGTACACCGCTGTGAGTCGCCCCCGGGCTGAGAACAGCGGTATATAAGCAAAGTAAATAAATAAATAAATAAAGGTTAAAGGTAAAGGTTTCTTCTGACATTAAGTCTAGTCGTGTTTGACTAAGCCGAAGAGCCGGCGTTGTCCATAGACACCTCCAAGGTCATGTGGCCGGCCTGACTGCATGGAGCGCTGTTAACAGCATATTATCCTTTATATTATTATTATTCGTAATATTAATGCATAATAATAATATAAAATACACAAAACAGTATTATTTATTGCATTATTTTAAATTATTATTACTAGTAACAACATAGTATTATTATATAATTTAAATAAGTATAATTCATAATAATTATACATTTAAATAATTACTATTATAATTTTTTAATTATAAATTATTATTTAGATTTAATTATTATTATTAAAATCGATTTCATTAAAAAAATTCCTTTAAATCGATTTTAATAATACCATGGGACACTGGGAGTTGTAGTTTCCACTCTTTGGGGACTTTGTAAAACTGAAGATCCCAGGGTTCCAGAGCTACAATGCTGCCAAACCCTTGTGGAACTACAACTCCCAGGATGCTATAGCTGTGAAAAAAAGCCTTCCTCTTCTTCTCCTAGGAGTGCTCTCTTCCCCCCTCCCTTTGCTCCCCTTGAGCTGTCAATCACCCTCCGGGGCAGCCAATCGGGGCGCGGCGGAGGCGGGCCTTCGAGGGCGCCTGGCACAGCTGTCTCTCGTCCTTTGCCTTCTTCCTCGTCCTCGCGGGGGCGCGCAGTCGGGGGCGCGCGCTCGGAGGGATGCAGCAGCAGCAAAGGAGGCAGAAGCCTGCCAAGCCCTTGATTTCTGATATTTATATGGGGTTTTTTGGGCAGGGGGAGGGAGAGCATGCAAAATTATAAAGGGGGTCTTAGGGGGATCCCTTTGGGGCAATGCACCCCTTAAAATTCAGGAGGAAGAAGAACCTTTGGCTTTAGGGGTTCCTTGCAAAAGTCCCCCCTGAAACCCTTTCCCATGCTTATGCATGGGGGAGGGCATTTAATGCAAAGGAATTCTTGCCCCCCTTGAAAGAGGACTACTTCCTAATTCTAGAATAATTGTGGGGGAGCCATGGGAGACTGGACCTGATGGTTGGGAGATGGGGAGGACGCCCTTCTTTCCCCCCCTGAAGGCCTCTGTGGATTGATTGGGGGCGGGGCCAAAGGGAGACCCCTGCAAACCCCGCCCCCTCCGGCCCCCCTCCTCCCCTATGTTCTACGTGGGGCTCTTCTGCGTCAACCTGCTGGCCCTCTACTACGCCTTCCTCCTGGAGTACATCGCCCTCAACCTGGGCATCGCCTTCCTGCCCCCCGAAGACATGGACCACGCTCTCGGGGGCCTGGGGACCCTCTCTGGACCGGGGCTCGGCCTCTTTGACAGGGACGTGGGAGCCGAGATGGGTCTTGGGGACGGGGAGGTCCTGGACGCGGCCTGGGACTGAGAACCTCAAGGTCCAGGCTCCCCAAAGAAGGAAGACCCCATCGCCTCTCCAGTGGCCCATTTGAGCCTCCAAGAGAATCCTGAGAAGAGCCCCCAAGAGTCGCCAAGGAGAAGACCCTAATAGTCACCAAGGAGAAGACCCTAATAGTCACCAATAAGAAGGCCCCGAGAGGGCAACCCTAGAGTTTCCAAAAAGAAGACCCCAAGAGTCTCTGAGGTGGAACTCTTTGAGCCTCCAAGGAACCCCAAGAACCTCCAAAAGAAGAGACCTCGAGAGTCTTCAAGGAGGGGACAACAAAGGGCACCCTCAGTGTCTCCAAGGAAGGGACCTCAAGAGTTGCCAGGACGAAGGCCACAAGAGAATCAGGTGAGCCCCATGTAAGCCTCCAAGGGACCCCAAGAGAGTCCAAAGAGGGCACCCCTAGAGTTTCCAAGAGGAAGACCCTAAGAGTCACCAAAAAGAAGACCCCAAGAGAATCCAGAGCGGGTACCTCTAGAGCAGTGGTTCTCAACCTGGGGTCCCCAGATGTTTTTGGCCTTCAACTCCCAGAAATCCTAGCAGCTGGTAAATTGGCTGGGATTTCTGGGAGTTGTAGGCCAAAAACATCTGGGGACCCCAGGTTGAGAACCACTGCTCTAGAGTTTCCAATAAGGAGACCCCAAGAGTATCTGAGGTGGGCCCCTTTGAGCCTCCAAGGCACCCCAAGAGAATCCAGAGAAGAGACCCCAAGAATCACCAAGGAGGGGACCCTAGGAGTCACTGATAAGAAGACCCCAAGAGAATCCAGAGAGGGCAACCCTAGAGTTTACAAAAAGAAGACTCCAAGAGTCTCCAAGGAGAGCATCAAGGGCACCCCCAGTGTATCCAAGGAAGGGACCTCCAGAGTTGCCAGGAAGAAGACCACAAGAGAATCCAAGAGAATCAGGTGAGCCCCATGTAAGCCTCCAAGGGACCCCATGAGAGTCCAAAGAGGGCACCCCTAGAGTTTCTAAGAAGAAACTGTAGAAGACCCCTACATTCACCAATAAGAAGACCCCAAGAGTCCCTGAGGTGGGCCCCTTTGAGCCTCCAAGGCACCCCAAGAGAATCCAGAGAAGAGACCTCAAGAGTCGCCAAGGAGGGGATCCTAGGAGTCACCAATAAGAAGACCCTAAGAGAACCCAGAGAGGTCAACCCTGGAGTTTCCAAAAAGAAGATCCCAAGAGTCTCTGAGGTGGGCCCCTTTGAGTCTCCAAGGCACCCCAAGAGAATCCAGAGAAGAGATCCCAACAGTCATCAAAGAGGGGACCCCAAGAGTTGCCGAAGAAAGGAACCCATGTGGGAGACAACAAAGGATACTCAAAGAGCCTCCAAGGGAACCCAAAGAGAATCCAAAGAATCCAAAGATAAGAGTCAGTAATAAGAAGATCCCAAGAGAATCCAAAGAGGACACCCCTCGATTTTCCAAGAAGACCAAGTGTCTCTGAGTTGGGCCCCTTTGAGCCTCCAAAGAAGAGTCACCAAGGAGGGGACATAGAAGGGCACCCCTGGTGTCTTCAAGGAAGGGACCTCAAGAGTTACAAGGAAGAAGACCACAAGAGTTACCAAGGCACTCCCCCTTTTAAGCCTCCAAGGGACCCCAAGGAGAATCCTAACAGGGAACCCCAAGAGTCACCAAGAAGGGTAACCCAAAGGGCACCAAGCATCTCCAGGAAGACCCCAAGAGTCCCTTGTTTGGGCCCCCTTTGAGCCTCCTAGAATCACCAAGAAGAAAACAACCCTGCACCAGACTGGACTTTGCTGGACCCTCAATCATCTGCAAGGAAGAGACTCCAAGAGTTGCCCTGACATCTCCAAGGAAGAGAACCTCCAGATGGGCCCCTCCAGACTAGACCTCATTGGACCTCGGTTGTTCCTGAGGAGGGGACACCAATAATCCACAACTGGGCATTGGGTTTGCAGACGTAGTCACAAGGCTTGACTTTGCTGGACACCCCCCCCCCCCCAAGTCGCCAAGGGAGGGACCTCAAGAAGTTTCAAGGAGGGGAACCTGGTCTGATGGTAGTCCGACAAGAAGGCACCAGAAAGGCCCCTTTTGGGTGGCATTTGGATCCTTTTGCTTCTCAGGGAAAGAAGGAGAACAGTGGGGTGGGCGGGTTTGCCGTTTGGGGAACGGAGTCACTCCAGATTTGGGGGACATCCTTGCATCCTTCAGAAACTGGATCCAAAGGGAAAGAGGAGCGCGAGTGGTTGACACCTTCACCACAGAGGAATGGACCGCATTCAGGTGTCAGTGTAAGTACCAGAATAGGGAGAACATGCATTGAAAACATATGAATAATTGGAATTTGGGAACCTTTGAAGTTAGGACTCCATGAATGCACAACTGAAAGCGATAGAGGTCCCTAAAGGTCATCTAGTCCACCTCTTTCTGGGTCCATTGGTCACTTTTGCAAACGGGGCTGCTGGGTTTAAATGCATAATGTTATTATTATATTTGTGTTTATTATTATGCTTATTTATATCCTGCTTTTTCTCTCCACAAAGGAGACTCAAACGGGGCTTGTTTTCCAGGGTCCGAAATGCAAACGCTAAGCAATCAATATGTTTTTCCTCTTTGGAAAGGTTGCAAATTATATCTATATATATATCATCAATATTTATGGATTACTGAGGACATTTAAACCATTCCATAATTGCTCCCTTTTCCATTTAGTTGGGCTGTTTCTGCAAGTTGTCCTTTTCCCTTTTTCCCTTTCCAATTCGTGACATTTCTGTAATGTCAGTGTCATTTGGAAAACCTTGAGCTGGGGATTCTTCAAACCCTGCCCTTTGCAAACCCAGGAGACAAATGCATCTTAAATGCTTTTGAACAGGAATCTGCTCAAGATTAAAACGTTCTTTCTTCTTTCAAATCCAGATTCAAGCAAGGAAGTGACGCCAATGGGACCCAAGACAAAGACGGCAGGGCTGTGAAAGTTTGCAAAAAGTTTGGACTGTTTCGCAGCACAACGGTTGCACTCGGCTGTTGATTTTGCACATTTTGCTCCAGAAGGGCTTCCGGATCCAAAAGACGCTCGGATGACAATAACAATATCACAAATATTCCGTTGCATTTTGGAAGAAGGCTTTTGAAAGACAATGGAAGGCGTTGGAAAAGGAAGTAACTTGGGGAAACCCACATTGTTTGGAGAAAACCCATCAAATCCATCACTGAATAAGGCAGAAACAGACATATCTCATTGATTGAATTAATGATGGGGGTGGGATAACAACTCCCATCATCCACTAAATAGCATGGCTCAGGAATTCTGGGCAGGAGAGTCCATCACTGTATGGGGATTGTAATAACAGGTATTGGATGACCTCCCAGCACTGATATTATCAAGAGGAATGGAATAACAACTCCCATCATCCTAGGGGATTTTGGGAGTGAATATCCATAAAGGTATTTCCATTAACAACTGCAAAGGGTGCTTCATCACACTAGAGAATGAATCCACTTTAAATATGGTTTCTGCCTCCTGCAGAATTCTGGGGTTTGTAGTTTAGGGAGGAGCCTTTAAAAGCCTCCCTAAACTACAAAGCCCAGAATTCTGCAGGAGGCAGAAACCATATTTAAAGTGGATTCATTCTCTAGTGTGATGAAGTAGTAACTCTCAGCATTAGGATTAGCATCTTCCAAATACTATTGCTAGGGGATTCTGGGGTTGACAGTCCATAAACCAACTGTGCTTAACGATAGGAATGGGGCAACAACTCCCAGCATACCCCAGATAATATAGATAGGAACAATAGTCCTTAAAGTTACTGATATTAAGAATGGGATAGCGACGACAATTCCCATCATCCTGAAAATAGTATAGCTAGAAGATTCTGGGAGTGATCTAGAAATATGTTACCATTAAGAACTGGAATTGAATGACTGGGATTAGCAATAAGAATGGGGTGACAACTCCCATCATCCTCCAAAAAGTATAGTTAGGGGATTCTGGGAGTGAGAGTCCAAAAGGTTATATATTTTTTCTCTCTGCAAGGTTTTGCAGATTAGATAGGAAGGTTTTGCTGTTCAGGAACAGAATCACATGACCCTCCAGGTGTTGTACTGCACATCCCATCATCCACACTCAATGCATAGATGACATGGGATGCTGGGAATTGCAGTGCAAAGTTTCACGCTTCACACTTATGCCATACGTTTTTGTTTTTGTTGCACATGAAATGCTTGCATTGAAATGCATTAAAAGCATGTGACCTGAACATAAAATCAATGCTGTTCCAATTAAGCGAGGAAATTGCATTTTGCTAGTTTTTCAATAGATCAATTGATTGCACTTTCTGAGCACATCATGAAAACGTCCGAAGCTCATTTTGGATCTTCAAAATGTTGCCTTTTAAATTGAAAAAAAATTACCTATAAAACAGGCATGGGGAAACTTCGGCCCTCCAGGTGTTTTGGACTTCAACTCCCACAATTCCTAACAGCCTACCGGCTGTTAGGAATTGTGGGAGTTGAAGTCCAAAACACCTGGAGGGCCAAAGTTTTTCCATGCTTGCTCTAAAATAGGAATGGCAGGGAATTGAAATGAATTGCTGCACAGTGTTATGAAGGGGGGAAATCCATTTTCTAAATATTTTTGTAATTTTGGGAAAGGAAACAAAGGCCTTGTGGATTGAATACCGAAAGTTGTATATTTTTGTGGGGAAAAGGTTTTTAAATGCAGGGAACAAAATGTAAAAAAAAAAAGCAATATGTAAATATTCAGCCTGTAAAAAATAAATGCATAGAAAAATCAGTTACCTGAAGTCTTTTAATGAGCAATAATGGGATTGATGTGGCGATATTAATAATAGTAGTAGTATTACTTACTTAGGCAATCCCTTGTAGCCTGAGGATGATGGCCTTCCAAGTGTAGTGCCTTGGTGGTGGTCTGTAGTTAGCTGTGGAGTCCTATTCTTGATCTGTATGTTCTCTTGCAGTGGGGACATCGGTTTCCAGGTGGAAGGCTGTCCCGGTCAGGGTTGGCTTGATGTACCTTCCTCTTGGCACGTTTCTTCCTTTTGCCCTCCATTCATGCCTCTTTGAATTTCGCAACACTGCTGGTCACAGCGGACCTCCAGTTAGAATGCTCAACAGCCAGGGATTCCCAGTTTTTGGTGTCTATGCCATAGTTTTTTAGGTTGGCTGTAAGCCCATCTTAAATCTCTTTTCCTGGCCACCAACATTCCGTTTTCCATTCTGAGTTTGGAGTAGAGCAACTGCTATGGGAGATGGTGGTCAAGCATTCGGACAATTTGTCCTTCAGTCCACTGGAGTTGGTGGCGGAAGACCATCACTTCAATGCTGGTGGTCTTTGCTTCTTCCAGCATGGGCAAGCCTGTCTTCCCAAGAGATTTGCAGGATTGCTCAGAGGCAACACTGATGGAATCGTTTCAGCAGTTGCATGTGACGTCTGTAGACAATCCACGTTTTGTAGGCATATAGCAAGGTTGGGAGGACAATAGCTTTATAAACAAGCACCTTCGTATCCCTACGGATGTCCCAGTCCTCAAACACTCTCTGCTTCATTGGGAAAAATGCTGCACTCGCAGAATTCAGGTGGTGTTGTATTTTAGCGTCAGTGTTGACTTTTGTAGAGAGGTGGCTGCCAAGGGAGCGGAAATGGTCAACATTTTCTAATATTACACCATTAACCTGTATTTCTGGCATTGCAGAAGGATTGCTGGTGACTGCTGGAAGAGCACTTTGGTTTTCTCGATGTTCAATGAGAGACTTAGCTTGTAGTAGCTTGTAGGTCTTATTCTAAATGTGCACAGGTGACATTATCATCAGCATACTGGAGTTCTATAAAAGATTTTGTTGTGACCTTGGTTTTGGCTTTTAGTATGCTGAGGTTAAATAGGTTGCCATCTGTCTGACAGATGATTTCCACGCAACTCAGCTCTGAGATTAAATTCTAGTTTTGAAACAATTTTCAGTCAATTTCTGGCTCTGTTAAATGTTGGATCTTGCAATTTATTTGCTACTAGCTTGAGTACCTGGTGTTGCCTGGGTTATTTGAAAAAGCCCATTTAAAAATTGTACAAAATGCATAAGGTTGTGGGTGAACTACAACTCACATCATGCCAGGTTAACCCTGAAAAACTCTAATCAGTTCTTAAAGTTTGTTATGCCGGGCAAGTTTGCTCTAGATGAATCTAGAGGTGGGGTTCAGTGTGCTCTCTGGCTGTAGGGAACACTACAACTCCCACTATGGTGAGTCAGTCCCCTCAAACCCCTCCAGTAGGTTGAAATAGTCATGGGGGTTCTGTGTGCCAAGTTTGGTCCAGGTCCATCATTGGTGGAGGTCACAGTTTCTCTGGTTGTGGGTGGGCTACAACTCCCAGAAAGGAAGGTCAGTTCCCCCCAAACCCCTCCAGTAATCAATTTTTTGGCATATCAGGTATGTGTGCCAAGTTTGGTAGAGATCCATCAGTATTTGGGTTCACAGTGCTCTCTGGATGTAAATGAACAACTCCCCCAAACCAAGGTGAATTTTCCCCAAAGACCTCTATTTTTTATTTATTTATCAGTCAATAAAACATCATACTTCATATTGCAATAAAACATTAAAACATTAAAACAGCAAAACAGCAATTACATTCAATAAATACAATGGTCAGTCGTCCCACTAAATTTGATGTTCATTATCCTCCATCCATATGTCCGGGTGTTGGCTCACTCATCGAATGCCTGTCTCCATAACCATGTCTTCACCTGCTTCCTGAATGTCAGGATAGAAGGGGCTGTTCTGATCTCCTGTGGGAGAGAGGTCCAGAGTCGAGGGGCCACCACCGAGAAGGCCCTGTCCCTCGTCCCCATCAGACGCGCTTGCGAGGCCGGTGGGACCGAGAGCAGGGCCTCTCCAGATGCTAATCTTGGGGGCTCTGTGTGCCAAGTTTGGTCCAATTCCCTCTTTGGTGGATTTTAGAGTGCTCATTGATTGCAGGTGAACTATAAATCCAAGTACCTTCAACTTCAAGATGTCCAGACAAATTCCCCTCAAAACCCACCAGCATTCAAATTTGGGCATATCGAATATGCATGCCAAGTTTGGCCCAGATCCATCATTGTTTATGTTCCTAGTACGCTCTGGATGTAGGTGAACTGCAACTCCCATAAATCCTTCCAAAGACCTCAAGTGTTTTTGTTGTTCAGGGGGCTTCTGTGTGTCTAGTTAGTTCCAGGCCCAATGTTGGTGGAGTTCGGAGTGCTCTTAGATCGCAGGTGAACTATACATCACAGTAGCTACAACTCCTATAAATCATGGTAAATTCTCCCCAAACTTCTCTAGTGTGTTCAGTTGCCTGTTTGCTGTGTGCCATAAAAAAAGAATAAGAAAGGGTTAAGGGAGAGGCAGTGGGCGGGGCCATGCAAATTCCACACCAATAGAGAGAGTCATAAACACTGGGATGCCTGTGGTGGAGGAAACACATGAAATCTAGGATGAGATGGTCCCCGTATGAAAGCCTTCACTTGGGTGTTGGGCAGTATGGTGTTTGTGGAAGATATTGGCAGGGCTCTTGGACATGTTCACAGCGCTCACTATAACCTGCAATGTCATTGGAGGGAGGGCCATTGGCGTCTCCTGCGTAGTGAGAGCTATGGCTGTTTGTGGAGGCAGCTTGTCTGTGTAAGTGGACACTCTCGCCACACACATGCATACATGTTTTCATAGAGAGACATAATTTATTTAGTTTACAGAAAATAATTCCTAATTTTCTTTTTCTTTTTGGCTAAAGTTAACAACTTTCTTCTTTAATTAGCAAAGGCAGACAGAATGGATGTGGATTCAGAAATAAAGTTTCAAAAACATTTACCTTTAATATAAGCGTTCTCAATATTTTCCTAAATTTTTGCATATTCAGAAATAATTGTTCTCCAGTGCATTCATTACTGGGATATTTACACTTTTCCTAAAAGGTTGCAATTTGGAATTGTATTTATTTTGGTAATATTTACAGTTTGTCAAAAAGTTGCATTTTAGAAATGCATTTATTTCTGTAATATTTACAGTTTCTCAAAAGGCTGCAATTTGGAAATGTGTTTATTTCTGAAATTTGTTACAGTTTCTCAAATGGTTGCAATTTGGAAATAAATTTATTTCTGAAATAGTTACAGTTTCTCAACAACTTACATTTTGGAATGTATTTATTTCTGCAATATTTACAGTTTCTCAAGAAGTTGCAATTTGGAAAGGTATTTATTTCTGCAATATTTATAGTTTCTCAAATGGTTGCAATTTGGAAATGTATTTATTTCTGCAATATTTACAATTTCTCAAAAGGTTGCAATTTGGAAATGTATTTATTTCTACAATATTTACAGTTTCTCAAGAAGTTGCAATTTGGAAAGGTATTTATTTCTGCAATATTTACAGTTTCTCAAAAGGCTGCAATTTGGAAATGTATATTTCTACAATATTTACAGTTTCTCAAAAGGTTGCAATTTGGAAATGTATATATTTCTGCAATATTTACAGAGTCTCAGAATGTTGCAATTCAGAAATATTTACGTCTAATGCAAGCATTTCTGGGATGTTTAGATTTTCTTAAATGGTTGCATTTCCAAAATATCGATCTTCAATGTAATTCTGGAACATATTTTCCCCTCCAAAAGGTTGCAAATAGATTTTCCAAAATCGCTGCTGAGCGGCAATTCAAACCCGGACCTATCACTACCTTCCTCTAATTCCATCCCTTAGGATCTCTTTGGCCAAGTTTCTTGCATTCCTCCCTCTGGGGCTGAGAGAGTGTGACTCAAAGGCCCGGCAGAGATTTGATCCCAGGTCCTGCCAAGTCCATAGCCGGCCTCTCAAGGGATCCACTTCGGAGGTGCCTAGCTTTGCAGAGTCTTGTTCTCCTCCTGAACCGGACTTTAAAAGCCCTGCAGGCCTTTCTTTTCACTGAAGAACCATAAAGGGTCAGCTCTTTGGCCACATCTAGGAAGGCAAACATAGGGACACAAGGGTCAATCTTTAGCATTTCCCTCCCAGGGAAATCCCAAGACTCACAAAATAGCAGCAATAGAAATCACAATCGCCATCATATTATTACTATTACTATTATTACTATTGCTGTATATCAATATTATTATTACAACTATATTAATAGTATTATTATTACTACTGTTATTAATATAATTACTATACTAACAGTATTACTATATTATCATTCCTATATTAATACTACTATTATCTCTACTATATCACTACTATTATTATTGCTATATCCATGCTATTGTTACTGTATTAATACTGTCATCACCATATTGATGTTACTGTTATGACTATATCAATACTATTACTATAGTGATGCCATATTAATACTATTATTATTACTACTATATTAGTACCATATCAATATTATTATAATCACTATATTGATTCTATTGATACTAATGTTCCTATTTTTTGTCGTGTCAGGAGTGACTTGACAAACTGCAAGTCACTTCTGGTGTGAGAGAATTGGCCATCTGCAAGGACGTTGCCCAGGGGACGCCCGGATGATTTTGTTATTGATGCTATCATACCTATATTATAATTATTATGATGCTATTGTTACCATTACTATTATTACTATATTAATACTATTATTCCTACTATATCAATAGTATTGTTGCCACCACTATTATTACTGTATTAATACTACTACTACTACTAATAATAATATAATTACTATAGTAACATCATTACTATTATCATTTCTATATTAATACTACTATTACCACTACTATATAAATACTATTACTACTATTATTGCTATATCTGTGCTATTGTTACTGTATTAATACTGTCATCACCATGTTGATATTACTATTATGACTATATAAATACTATTCTGATATTGATACCATATTAATACTATTATTATTACTATATTAGAACCATATCAATATTATTAACATCACCATATCGATACTATATTGATACTATTGTTACTATTAATGATGCTATTATTACTATATTATTACTATTATGATGCTATTGTTATCACTACTATTATTACTATATTAATACTATCATTACTACTATATCAATACTATTGTTACACCACTATTATTACTATATTAATACTATTATTCCTACTACTATTATTAATATAATTGTTATAGTAACATTATTACTATATTATCATTGCTATATTAATATTAGTATTACCACTACTACATCAATACCATTATTACTATTATTATTGCTATATCTATGCTATTGTTAATGTATTAATACTGTTATCACCATGTTGACATTACTGTTATATCAATACTATTCTGATATTGATACCATATTAATACTATTATTATTACTATATTAGAACCATATCAATATTATTAACATCACCATATTGATACTATATTGATACTACTGTTACTATTATTGATGCTATTATTACTATATTATTGCTACTATGATGCTATTGTTACCACTACTATTATTACAATATTAATACTATCATTACTACTATATCAATACTATTGTTACATCGCTATTATTACTATGTTAATACTATTATTGCTACTATTACTATTAATATAATTTTATAGTAACATTATGACTATATCAATACTATTATATTGATACCATATTAATACTATTATTATTATTATATTAGAACCATATCAATACTATTATCATCACCATATCGATACTATATTGATACTACTGTTACTATTATTGATGTTATTATTACTATATTATTACTATTATGATGCTATTGTTACTACTATTATTGCTATATTATTGCTACGATGTTGATACTATTGTTACCACTACTATTATTACTATATTAATAATATTATTAATATTATTATTACTACTATTAATACGATTATTAATTTTGCATGGCTCTGATTCTCATTCAGCAAGCACTTGCTCCCATTCCTCTTCCAAACCTTTCCCAATAACAATACACTAAGGACTTTATCCTGCTGGCAATAAGTGCTATGATATTGATACCATATTAATACTATTATTATTACTATATTGCAACCATATCAATATTATTAACATCACCATATTGATACTATATTAATACTGTTACAATTATTGATGCTATTATTACTATATTATTACTGTTATGATGCTATTGTTACCACTACTATTACTATATTCATACTATTATTATTGCTACTACTACTACTATTAATTTTGCATGGCTTGATTCTCATTCAGCAAGCACTTGCTCCCATTCCTCTTCCAACCCTTTCCCAATAACAATACGTTAAGGACTTTATCCTGCTGGCAATAAGTGCTATTTCAGCAAAAGTAAACAGGCCATATTTGTTGTTGTTGTTGTTGTTGTTGTTGTTGTTACAAAGGGAAATCGGCCACATTATTGCAACAAGTAAAGCCCAATTAGTAAACCCTTGCCTTGCTTTAGAGGAGCCTGATCCGAGGATCCAGGTGCTGCAAGTGATCCAGGACACCATGGGGGATGGTAGGACTCCACAGCCTGCATTTTGGGGAAGAAAAGCCCAGATCAGAGAGGAATTCCCCATGGAAGTTGTAGTTCCCTAAGGGCCTTTCACTTCCCTGGGTACATCCACACTGTAGAATGAATCCAGTTTGACACCACTTCAACTATCATGACTCCATACAATGGAATCCTGCTAGTTGCAGGTTTGCAAGAGACTTCTGTTGCAAAGAGTGCGGTACTACAGCTCCCAGGGCTCCATCACTTGTTTCATTCTATTTTTATGGCTTGCTTTTATCATGAGCTGCTTTGGGTCTCTTTTCGAGAGAGATGAAGCAGGATCAAAATAACAATAACAATAATAACAATAGCAGCAATGGCATTGAGCGCCATGGCAGTTAAAGGGGTGCCAAACTGCATCACCTCTACAGTGTAGACGCCCTTATGGCCAGAGTTTCTTTACCCAAGTAAAGGGGTGACTTATCAACATCCAAATTTATTTTAAGTTCATAGCAATTTAAAAAGATGCAAATGAAAGTCTACATTTTCTCATATATATATATATATATATATATATATATATATATATATATATATATAAACACACACACACACATATACATTCATATACATATATACACACATAAACATACATATACATACACACATACACAATTGGACCATGTATTGACTTGCAGTGCAATTTCTTTGGACTGCAACTCCCATCATCTCCGACTTACGCCAGGCTTTGGACCCAGGGGCAATTCTTCAAAGTCTCTGTCAGGCGCTGAGCTCCAGCTCCCGTGATCTTGTTGCAATGGATGCTGCAAGGAAAATACCATGAGCCCACTTTGGACTAAAACCTGGTGCAAATTCAGAAATTGGGCTCTGATGCAAGTGTTTGTCGTCATATTTTTAAAGATTCCCCCCCCCCCCCCAAATGTTTGTTCGACTTACTCCAACACTTTCAAAGAATGCATTTGGGGAAGTGTTTCTGCAAACTTTTCTGCCCCGGCGTCTCCAATGCTGTTTTTGTAAAGGCTGCAAAAGAGGAAAGAAAATGTGTAATTTTGGAATTAAGATTCCGCAATAATGCCATAAGATATTGAAATGAAATGAATAAGCTTAGAAACCAGACTAAAGCAAAAAGGGCGGGAGAAGAAAGAAAGCAAATGGGAGCTTTGGAATTAAGAGATGGACGGACAGACAGAATACACAGATGGATGGATGGATGGATGAACAGACAGAATAGATGGCTGGATAGGTAGGTAGGTAGGTAGGTAGAATACATGGATGGATGGATGGATGGATGGATGGATGGATGGACAGATAGAATAGATGGCTGGATGGATAGGTAGGTAGGTAGAATACATAGATGGATGGATGGATGGATGGATGGATGGATGGATGGATGGATGGATGGATGGAATACGTGGGTGGATGGATGGATGGGTAGGTAGGTAGGTAAATAGAATACATGGATGGATAGATAGAATGAATGGATGGATAGATAGGTAGGTAGAATACGTGGATGGATGGATGGATGGATGGATGGATGGGTAGTTAGGTAAGTAGATAGATAGATAGATAGATAGATAGATAGATAGATAGATAGATAGATAGAATACATAGATGGATGGATGGATAGATGGATAGATAGATCAACAGGGATGGATGGATGGATAGATAAATAGATAGGATTCATGAATGGATAGATATATAAATAGATCAGGGGTCCTCAAACTAGGGCCCGAGGGCCAGATATGGCCCTCCAAGGTCATTTACCCTGCTCTTGTTCAGGGTCAACCTAAGTCTGAAACAACTTGAAAGCACACAACAACAATCCTATCTCAGCCAAAAGCAGGCCCACACTTCCCACTGTAATACTAATAAGCTTATATCTGTTAAAATTGTTCTATATTTATTGTATTGTTTTAAGTGGTTTTTTGCACTACAAATAAGATATGTGCAGTGTGCATAAGAATTCATTCATTTTTTTTTCAAATTATAATCCGGCCCTCCAACAGTTTGAGGGACTCTGACCTGGCCCTCTGTTTAAAAAGTTTGAGGACCCCTGAAATAGATAGATAAAATACATGGATGGATGGATGGAGGAATAGATAGATTAGATTGGGTGGCTGGATGGATAGATAGGTGGACAGACAGAGAGACAGACAGAAAGAATACATGGATGGATGAATAAGTAGATAGATAGATAGATAGATAGATAGATAGATAGATAGATAGATAGATAGATAGATAGATAGACAGACAGACAGATAGATAGAGAGATAGGGAGATAGGGAGATAGGGAGGTAGATAGAATACATGGATGGATAGATGGATAGATGGATAGATGGATAGATGGATGGATGGATGGATGGATGGATAGATAGATAGATAGATAGATAGATAGATAGATAGATAGATAGATACATCTGGTGGATTGACAGACAGACAGACAGACAAGACAGAAAGAAACTAAACCAAATGGGAAGGAGAGAAACCAAAGAGAAAAGGGAGCTTTGGAATTAAGCTTGTGCAAATAAATGCCATACAAAATTGAAATAAAACAAAGAAGCTTAAACTGGACAAAAAGAAAAGGGGTGGGGATTCCTATAACACTCTCTATAAAAACAAGGCAGTTTACGTGTCTGAACGTATCTCTCCTTATGAACCATCTAGGAATTTAAGATCGTCTGGGGAGGCTCTGCTCTCGGTCCAGCCTTCTTCAAGCGCATGCTTGGCAGGGACGAGAGACAGGGCCTTCTCAGTGGTGGCCCCTCGGCTGTCGAACCCCCTCCCTAGGAATATTAGATCAGCCCCCTCCCTCCTGACCTTCTGGAAAAAGTAAAAACCTGGCTCTTTAGGAAGAACTTGAAGACCTGGCTATTCCGATGTGCCTTTCCAGAATAGGATAACCCCCAGCACTATGTCCCAGAAGCACTTTATTAGAGTTTAAGACTCTCTGCACATTGCACTTGCCCAGAATCCCAACATACCACCTCTCACACTCAGTACTTTTAACCTGTACCCATCATTGGCCTGGCCCTGGTTTTATTGCGTAATAGTGTAATGTTTTGTTATTGCTTATGTTTTAATTTGCTTTGCATTGTATTGTTATTGTCCGTTGTTGCTGTGTTGAGGCCTTGGCCTTTGTAAGCCGCATCGAGTCCTTCGGGAGATGCTAGCGGGGTACAAATAAAGTTTAATAATAATTTTTTAAAAGCCTTTGGAAATTTAACGTAATAGATAAACACGGAACTCTGAAAGAATGAAATATGGAATGGCTTAGATGATGCTACTGGAAAATGAGATTAACAGGAAGGCATTGGTTTTTATATATTTCATGGTTTTGTATGGATTTTATAATGTTCTAATTGGTTTTAATTGAAAACTATGGACTGTTATGGCATTGAATTGCTGCCAATTTGTAAGCTGCCTTGAGTCGCCTTTCAAGCTGAGAAAGGCGAGATAGAAAGATCATAATAAATCAATAAATAAATAAGATCCCCCCTAATAATAATAATAATAATAATAATAATAATAATAATAATAATAATAGGGGAAAGAAAGAGTATTGGTGTTACCCCCTCAAAAGACTTTCAACAGCAGTCTTTCTCTGAAGTGGAACATGGAACTTGTAGTACGCACCTCAGGGTCTTCAAGGCAGGCAGGTGTGGGAGGGCAGTGGAGAGTGCGTCGGCCCCTCGGTCCGTGATCTTATTTCGGGACAAACTGGAAACAAAAGTGGAATCACAACAGATGATTGTGGCAGAACAACAGTTCCCAGCACCCCAGGAAAAATGGGAGTTGCAGTCCAATGCTATTTGGGGTCTGAAGGTTTGCCAGGCCATTTTAAAGTATCCAGACTTTTTAAAGTATCAAGCAAACCAAAAGTGCATGGTCATTTTACTCTCCTTGGATTGTAGTCTCCATTATCCCCTGCCAACATAGGTCCCTTTTGTGTTTATGTGTGTGTGTGTGTGTGTGTGTGTATTCTTATTCTAGGGATTGTATTTTGGGCGGATGGGATCCCGAACTCATCTCCAATGACTTACTTTAATGTTTCCAACGAGCGCAACCGAGGAAGGACTTCCCGAAAAGCCAAGATCCCTTCGTCTCCGATTTCGTTCTCTTTTGGAGAATCCAAGCTGGAAAAAAATAAGCAAGAGATAAACAGGAAGGTGTCAATGGGGCTGCTACAGGGACAGAAATTTGGACCCAAGCCTCCCAAAAGAAATTTCCTGAGCTCTGGTTGTCATCCATTAGGTTTGCTAAATACTCTTGACCCTTTGGATACTCACTCCAAGTGCCGAAGAGATGGAAAGGCATCCAGGATTGGGACCAATTTCCGGAATCCCTTTAAACCATAGAGGGGCCCCAGCCTGCAAAGCAAAGTCAAAACACTATGTAACACAACTGATACTGCATTTATCTTTCTTTTCTTAGACAATCATATATATGGAAGTAGCAGCCAATAATGAAAGGACCAAGGCAGTGACATCTCCGGCCCATCTTCTGTTCAGATATCGGCCAACATGCAAACACTTTAAATCAAGAAATAGCTTTCTAAGATCTACACAGATACTAGCAGAAACACCTCAGCAAGCAAGAGTCCAAAAGTGGCAGGCTAAAACCCTGAACCTCAACCCATGGATGACCGGATGAGAAACTTCCTCCTGGGCTCACAGAAGACTGGGCGACTTGGAAGGCACTGAAAAGACCGTGCTCTGGCACCACAATATGCAGAGCCAATCTTCAAAAAATGGGATTACAAAGTGGAGTCCACGACATGTCAGTGTGGAGAGGAGCAAACCACAGACCACCTACTACAATGCAACCCGAGCCCTGCCACATGCACAATGGAGGACCTTCTCACAGCATCACCAGAGGCACTCCAAGTGGCCAGCTTCTGGTCAAAGGATATTTAGTATAATACCAAGTTTTTAACTTTGTTTGTGTTTTCAAATATATTATAACTGTACCCTCAACTCACTTCTGACAGGATAAATAAATATTTAAAAAAGGACTTACGTGAATTCTATTTTCTGGAGGTCTGCAATGGCTGGAATACATTGGGCCTTGCATCCACTGAAGAGAAAGTAAACATGAATTGAAACCCACCAAAGTCATCGCGTGGGCCATTCCAACAGTCATTGCACATAATTTCATAGTTATCTATTGCACAAAATCTCCCAAGGCTTGATCAAAAAGCCACGTTTTCACTTTCTTATGGAAGATCAGGAGAGAAAGATAGATAGATAAACAACAGAAATGGATAGAGGGATGAGCAAGATAGATGGTTAAATTGAAAGATGATAGATAAACAAGAGAGAAAAGATAGATAGATAGATAGATAGATAGATAGATAGATAGATAGATAGATAGATAGATAGACAGACAGACAGATAGACAGAGGGATGGGCTAGAGAGATAGATGATTACATGGATAGATGGATAGATAAACAAGAGAGAAAAGATATACAGGCAGGCAGGTAGGCAGGCAGACAGATAGAGATAAACAAAAAATAGAGATGGATGGAGGGATGGGCAAGAGAGATAGATAGTTAAATTGGTACATAATAAATAAGAGAGAAAATATAGATAGATAGGAAGATAAATAGATGGTTAAATGGATAAATGATAGATAAACAGAAAAGAACGATAGATAGATAGATAGATAGATAGATAGATAGATAGATAGATAGATAGATAGAGGGATGGGCAAGAGAGATAGGTAAATTGGTACATGATAAATAAGAAAAGATAGATAGATAGATAGATAGATAGATAGATAGATAGATAGGAAATAGATGGTCAAATGGATAGATGGATAGATGATAGATAAACAAGAGAGAAAAGACAGACAGAGATAAATAAATAGATATTGTTAGAAAGAGAGATAGATAGGTGGATAGACAATAGAGAAAGAGACAATAGAGAGGCATAGGGATGGGAAGATAAACTGATGGTTAAATGGATAATGATAGATAAACAAGAGAAAAAAGAAAAGAAAGAAAGAAAGAAAGAAAGAAAGAAAGATAGATAGATAGATAGATCAAACAGAGCTAGATAGATAGAGCAAGCAGACAGGATGGATGAATGAATGAGAGGTAGGTAGGTAGAGCTGGCAGACTGGATGGATAGATCAGACATGTAGAATAGATAGATAGAGCAGGAAGACATGATGGATGGATGGATGGATGGATGGATGGATGGATGATAGATAGATAGATAGATAGATAGATAGATAGATAGATAGATAGATAGATAGATATCTAACCCACTGCACCACTGGGATAGATGCCACAAATAAGACAGAAAGGAAAGACTGACAGAAAAGCCCCCAGCCCCATTCCAGAGAGGGAGGGCCACCCATACATACCCTGCATTCATTTCCTGCTGGAGCTGCACCAAAGCAGAGAGATCCTGGAGGTCCCTCATGGTCTGGGCCTTGAAGGGCAGGGTGGCAGCCTTCTTCATGGCCGACCGCAGCTGCCTTTCTTCCCCGCTTTCCCACAAGTGCCTCCAAAGTGGGACTGTCTGGCCCAGGGATGCCCTGGAAGACAAAAGACCAGGTTTGGGTAAGTATCGTTGCACCTTAAAAGTCAAAAGGCGTCCCCGAGGGTCATCTAGTCCATCCCCAGAGAAGACCTACCTGACCTCTGAGATGTTCTCTGTGCCGAACAGTTCTACAAGTCCTTCCAAACGGATGGAGCTCCCTCTGAAATCCAAAGTGATCCCTTTGGTGGCTCTTTTCAGGATGGATCCCAAAACACAGGTGTCCGATGGAGCCAAAGAGAGGCCCGAAAAGGAGATTTCAGGCTGCAGCTTCAGCGCCAAATGCCGCAAAAGATACCCATCCTCCGTTTCATGGACGCAATGAAAGAGTTTGAGGAGTTGATCCGGACTGAATTCCCAAATCCGCAGGTTCCGGATGTATTTGGAGAAGTTCTTCCGCTTCTTGAAGACCATCTTCTCCAAATCCTCTCCAAACATTTCACTGGAGAACAGCAGACCGGACAAGAAACAAGGCACAAAATCCCAGGAAGATCTAAGGGATTTCTTGGATTTGGGGAACAAGTTGAGGTATTTGGTGAGCTTCTTGTCCTTGATCTCTTTGGCCAGGACCAAATGCAGAGCCAAAAAGAAATTCTGCACTGCGAAGCTAAAAAAGGCAAATGTTTTGCATCCCTCCATCTTGGAAACGGGGTCTTCCGGTAAAGGGACCACGATCCGATGATCCAAAGCAAACTCTTGTACTTCTTTGGAATCAAAACGAATGGAAGTGAAGGCACTCTGCCCACTTTGGGCCAAATCCCAAGCCATTTGGGCCAAGTTGGCGAGACTTTGGTGATTTAAATGGGGGTTTTTGAGAAGGGACTTTGCAATGAGTTTAGTGATCGTCGAAGGAGATTCTTTGTCAAACGTTCGGGAAACCGAGTCGCAAATTAATCGGCACATTTCGGGGTGGGAGCAATGGCTGAACAAATAAGGAGAGCTCCGGATGAAGTCCTCTCCTCCTCTGCAGGAAGGAAATGCCTCAAAATACCGATGGAGGTACGTTTCAGTTTGTTGTGAAGAAAACCCCATAATTTCCAGGATTTTGTCCGGTTTGGGGACGTGTTGATGAGGCTTGTCTTTGGGACGTGACAGAAGCAGCAAAGTGCAGCCGTTGAGGGCCTTCTTATGGAAAAGAGGGGACAAAGCTGCTCCGACGGGGCCATCTTGGTCCTTCAGGTCCTCGAAACCATCAAAAATAAGAAGGAGTTTCTTAGGGTTTTCCAAAATGTAGCTGTAGACTTCCTGGAGCTGTTCTGGAGCATGTGCCGAGTGTCCCAAGAGCAACTCCTGGAGGTTTTGTGGACTTCGAAACTTCAACTGCCGGCAGTCGAATCGGAAGAGGAATTCGAACTCGGGCCACTGGCCAATGGACCACTCCGAGGCGAGCCTTTGGGCCAAAGAGGTCTTCCCTGCTCCAGACTTCCCCAGGAGTGTAATAACCCTGGTGCTGGACTCCTTTCCCCCTGTCACCACCGGAGTCTGGAAGATCTCATTCCATGAAAACGGGTTCTTCTTGGACTTCTCTTCCAGGTCTCCAGGGTCACTGCTGCCACCCCCCTTCGGCTCCAAGGGAAGTTCGGAGAGAATGACTTCTGTGTAAAAGGGGGCCGGAGAGGGGTCTCCTTGAGTAAAGAGGTGCCTCAGCTCTGCACAGAAGGCCTCCACTGAATCTAAAAGGAAGGGGYAAAGAAAGGGAAGGTGACTATGGAGAAGAAGAGGAAGAGAAGGAAGAGAAAGGAAAGGTGATGATYTAGTACAGCCTGAGGCTGATGGGTTCACTGATAGTTTAGAGCAGTGTTTCTCAACCTGGGGGTCYGGACCCCTGGGGGGGGGGGTCGTGAGGGGGTGTCAGAGGGGTRGCCAAAAACAATTAGAAAACACAGTATTTTCTGATGGCCGTGGGTGTTCCGTGTGGGAAGTRTGGCCCAATTCTGTCATTGGTGGAGTTCAGAATGCTCTTTGATTATAGGTGAACTATAAATCCCAGCAACTACAACTCCCAAATGTCAAGGTCTATCTTCACCAAATAAGAAGGAATGGAATAAGTTGATATAAGATATGATGACAAAAAAGGAGGATGAGATGAAATAGGAGGAGAAGGAGAGAAGGAAGAAGAAGAAGTGGGAAAGGGAGAGAAAGCAGAAGAGGTGAAAGAGGAAGAAGAAGAGAGAAAAGAGAGAAAGGAAGGAGTGGAGGAAAAAGAAGAAAGGAGGAAGAAAAGAAGAGGGGAGGAGAAGAAAGGAAGAATAGGGAAAGGATGAAGAAAAGGAAGAGAAGGAGGAGAATGATAAGAAAAAACAGAAAGAGGAGGAGAAGAGGAGGAGGAGGAGGAGATGGAAGAGGAAACCAACCTGGTCTTTTGGGAGTTTGTTCCAAGGATGGATCTGGGCAGCTGTTTTGGTTGTCTGTTTCGGAGGGGCCTCCTTCACCTGGAGAGACAGGTGAAAGAGCGCAACCTTGAGCTTTCTCATTGCTCCACATTGTGCATCTTTTGCCAGAGATGCAATTGCAACAAAAAACTACTAGGGGGCGGTAGCAGCAAGGGTTTGAAAAGTCTGAGTGGTGGTGGTGATGATGATGATGACACTATGTAACAACATTTGAAAAATGTTCTGTTCCTGGTTTGAAAATGTCATTTCCTGTTTAATTGTGTAGTACTTACTTGGAAAATAGTTGTTCTCCTCCAGAAATGTTGTTTTTGTGGCTGCCACAAACTAGGTTGAATTAGTTGGCACTCGATGTGATATTCATAGAGCAAAATGTGCTCCAGGATGTCCCACAGTTTAATAAACTTTTCCTATATTTTTATGTTAGTACCAATTAGGAAATGACATTTATAACCCAGGAACAAAAATCATGTTACATAATGTAATGATCTAATGCACTCTATTAAAGACATGCTGAGTATAATAGGCTTTGCAGTCCTATCCACCAATATAGTTTCCATACATAGCAGATTTGCGCCAATCTGGGGCACAGGTGGGTTGGACTGCAGAACCAGTCATCCCCAGCCTGCAAGCACATGGACCGCAGGAGTCATCATGCAAATGGCCACTGTGATGGGGATGACGGGACTTGCACCCTATGCCCGTTTAGAGGATGACAAATGTCAGGAGTCATGGCCATTGGAGCAATCAACTCACCTGGGCAGCTGTTAACATCAGTAACCCCAGGCTTGGATGGCCAAGCGACTTGCTGGACGATGGGCTCGAAGGTCAAGATAACCTGGATATCTTTGGGGCCGAGAAGGCAATACTCCAGGTTAGGATTCCCAGAAGGCCCTGGAAATGACATTCCAAGTCAGAGAGACTGAGACCGACAGAAAGAAAGACTTTTGGGGTACGATACAACCTCTGAATGTTCCCATTTACAAGACACCCTCTGAATATTCTATCTCTCCATCCATTCATGGATGGATGAAGAGATAGATAAGATAGATAGATAGATATAGATAGATAGATCGATAGACAGACAGACAGACAGATATACAGATAGATAGACAGACAGAGAGATAGACAGAAAGACAAAGATGGATAGGAAGGAAGCAAAAGCAATGAATGGATGGATCAACAGAGATAGATGGGGAGCGGGAGAGAGAGAGAGAGATGGAGGGATAGACAGACAATAGAGACGGATGGATGGATGAATAGATAGACATACATGATAGATAGATAGATAGATAGATAGATAGATAGATAGATAGACAGACAGACAAAGACATAGATAGATAGATAGATAGATAGATAGATAGATAGATAGATAGATAGATGATAGATAGATAGATAGATAGATAGATAGATAGATAGATAGATAGATAGATTGACAGACTACAGGCATGGATGGATGGATTAATAGTTAGAGAGATAAATGGATAGAATAGATGTCTGGATGGATAGATGGGTAGATAGAGGTAGAGATAGAGACAGAGATAAAGGTAGGATAGATAGATAAACAGACAGACAGACAACAGACATGGATGGGTGGATTGATAGATATATGACACAGAGATAAATGGATAGAATGGATGGATGGCTGGCTGGATGGATGGATGCATGGGTAGGTAGGTAGATAGAATACATGATGTATGGATGGATAGAAAGAGAGACAGAGAGATAGAGAGATAGAGATGGGTGGGTGGAGAGACAGATAGTCAACAGAGAGGATGGATGGATGTGTAGACAGAAAAGATAGATATACAAAGCTAGAGAGAGACAGAGAGATAAAGATGGATGGATGTGTAGATAATAGATAAACAAGACAAAAAAAGATAGATAAGCATACAAAGTTGGAGATGATAGATAGATAGATAGATAGATAGATAGATAGGTAGATAGATAAATTGATTGATGATTGATTGATTGACAGACTACAGGCATGGATGGATGGATTAATAGTTAGATGACAGAGAGATAAATGGATAGAATAGGTGTCTGGATGGATGGATGGATAGATGGGTAGATAGAGGTAGAGATAGAGACAGAGATAAAGGTAGGATGGATGGATGGATAGATAGATAGATAGATAGATAGATAGATAGATAGATAGATAGATAGATAGATAGTAGATAGATAGATAGACAGACAACAGACATGGATGGGTGGATTGATAGATATATGACACAGAGATAAATTGATAGAATGGATGGCTGGCTGGATGCATACATGGGTAGGTAGATAGAATACATGGATGGATGGATGGATGGATGGATGGATGGATGGATGGATGGATGGATGGATGGATAGAAAGAGAGACAGAGAGATAGAGATGGATGGGTGGGTGTGTGGAGAGACAGATAGTCAACAGAGTAGATTGATGTGTAGATAGAAAAGATAGACATACAAAGCTAGAGAGAGAGACAGAGAGATAAAGATGGATGGATGTGTAGATAATAGATAAACAAGACAAAAAAGATAGATAGACATACAAAGTTGGAGATGATAGTTAGATAGGTAGTAGATAGATAGATAGATAAATAGATAAGACAGAGATGGAGATGGATGAAGGGATAGACAGACAACAGAGGTTGATGGATGAGTAGATGACCCAGTAGATAAGCAAGACAGAAAAGATAGATGATGATGATGATGATATTTATTTACACCCTGCTTTATTTCTCCCGAAGGGAACTCAGAGCGACTTAACATAAAAGCATTAGTACACGATTTAAAATATGCAAATATGCAAACCTTAAAACAGAATTAAATATAAATTCATGTAAAATTCACAGTTAAAAACCATTCAAACATATTCAATGCATATTCAGGTTAAAATCACAGCACCTCCAACCCAGACAGACAGACAGACAGATAAAGTGAGCAGGGTGCCAAACTGGTACAGCAATGACAGTCCTGTAATGACAACATCTTGGATGCTTGGCTTTTCCTACCTGGGGCTTTTGGGGATCCCTTGTCCATTCCGAAGGTGGTCACCAGAAACTGGATGTGGAAATTGGGCTGAAGGAGGATGGGGACGGGGTCCTTTGAGAGACAGGTGTCTGGACCTGGAAGAGAGGAAGGAGAAGAGCGGAGGGAGGATGAAGCAATGAATGAAGCGTATTGTGGCCCCTCTAGAGGGACATTTAGAGCAGGCATGGGCAAACTTGGGCCCTCCAGGTGTTTTGGACTTCAACTCCCACCATTCCTAACAGCCTCAGACCCTTTCCTTTTCCCCCTTCTGGAGATGTCATTTAGAACGGCAAGATTCGTGCCACTCACCCGCTTTCTGTCGCTTGGCCTTTGGCTCTTCAGAGCTGCTCCCTGCAGGCAGAGAACAAGCAGATCAAGGAGAGACCCGGGGCGCACCCACACTATGGAATTAATGCACTTTGGCACCATTTTCACTGCCACGGCTCAATTGCTATGGGATCTTGGGATGTATCATTTGCTGAGGCTCCAGCCTTTGCAAAGCTACACCTCCCAGGATCCCCTTGCATGGTGCCTTGGCATTTCTTGGAGAAGAAGGGAAAGGTGCTTTCCTTCCTCCTCATTCTGCATTTCTGCACTTACGTCTCTTCTTTCCTTTTTCTTCAGTCTTGGGACAGTCTGTAAAGGACTCCTCCACAGCCAGGCTTCCTTTGGAGGAAAGGAAACAACAGGATCATTGCTGGGTCAAAGCAAGGGTTTGCCCCAAAATTAGGATATTAAAGGGTTACAAAAGATGGAAGGGGATTGTACCGAAAAGCTCCTCCACTGGCTTCTCTTGTTGGTCTTTGAGCAAATATTCGGCCAAAGTCGCTAAAGAGGGAGAAGAGAGGAAAGATGAGATCAATACGCAATAACAATAACAATAGTAAAAAGAGCCAACAACCAATATAGCAAAAGAGAGAGAAGAATGGAGAGATGATATCGATATATAATAACATTAATAATAATAATAATAATAAAATAGCCAATAACCAATGTAGCGAAAGAGAGAGAAGCGGGGAAAGATGATATCAATGCATAATAACAATATTATTATTATTAATAATAATAATAGTAAAAAAAAAGCCAATAATCAATGTAGCAAAAGAGAGAGAAGAGGGGAAAGATGATATCAATACATAATAACATTATTATTATTATTATTAATAATAATAGTAAATATAGTCAATAACCAAAGCAGCGAAAGAGAGAGAAGAGGGGAAAGATGATATCAATACATAATAACAATATTATTATTATTAATAATAGCAAAAAAGCCAATAACCAATGTAGCAAAAGAGAGAGAAGAGGGGAAATATAATATCAATACTTATTATTATTATTATTATTATTATTATTATTATTAATAGTAAAAATAGCCAATAACCAATGCAGAGAAAGAGAGAGAAGAGGGGAAAGATGATATCAATACATAATAACAAAAGATGATATCAATACATAATAACAAATATATACACACATATACACACACAAAACACATATACACAGACTGGGCCACAGCAACGTGTGGCAGGGGGTAGCTAGTAATAATAATAATATTAATAATAGATTTTGCCAGTGTTTTCATCGTTTCCCAAAATTCAAAAGACTCACCAATTTTATCATAAGCCTCTCCAGTGTTTGAACATTGGCAAACTTCTTCCCCTTCCACTGTGTAAAAGACATCTGCATCATTGAGAGTATCTGCAGAGGGCCCTGGAAGAAGAGAATAATAATAATAATAATAATAATAATAATAATAATAATAATAATAATAATAATATCAATAATAATTCTTGCAGCCCAGAAGCAAGCTATCAGAACCAATGCAATTAAGGCCAGGATTGAAAAATCAGCGGATGACCCAAAATGCAGACTGTGTTAGGAAGCTGATGAAACCATGGACCATCTCCTTAGCTGTTGCAAGAAAATCACACAGACGGACTACAAACAGAGGCACAACTCTGTGGCCGAGATGATTCACTGGAAATTATGCCACAAGTACCACTTGCCAGCAGCAAAGAATTGGTGGGATCATAAACCTGCAAAGGTCGTGGAAAATGAACATGCAAAAATACTGTGGGACTTTCGAATCCAGACTGACAAAGTTTTGGAACACAATACACCAGACATCACGATTGTGGAAAAGAAAAAATCTGGATTATTGATGTCGCCATACCGGGTGACAGTCGCATTGAGGAAAAACAACAGGAAAAACTCAGCCACTATCAAGACCTCAAAATCGAACTGCAAAGGCTCTGGCATAAACCAGTACAGGTGGTCCCAGTGGTCATTGGCGCACTGGGTGCCGTGCCAAAAGATCTCAGCTGGCATTTGGAAACAATAAACATTGACAAAATCACGATCTGTCAACTGCAAAAGGCCACCTTACTTGGATCTGCGCGCATCATTCGAAAATACATCACACAGTCCTAGATGCTTGGGAAGTGTTCGACTTGTGATTTTGTGATACGAAATCCAGCATATAGATCTCGTTTGCTGTGACATACTGTGCTTTTGTGTCAATAATAATAATGGACTCCTGCATCCAATTATACTTAATCAAATAAACTCAGGGTGCATCCACATGATGAATGCTGTTTGGCTCCACTTCAACAGCCATGGTTCAGTGCTACAGAGTCCTGGGAATTGTAGTTTCCCAAGGCCTTGATGCTCCATCCCTCCAACCCCTGTGTTGTTGTATTTTTTTTCAACTGAAGGAAGCCCAATGCTTTCCAGTGCCTGACCTGCAGGAATCTCTTCTGCCGCTTCCACCTCTTGGGACAAAACCCAGTCGTCCAGCTCACTCTGCAGCAGCTCCAGGTAGCTCTTCGTCCCCAGCCAGGCTCCCCCTGCCTCCATCTCGTGACCTGGAATGAATATGAAACACATATATTAAATGATATAGATAGATGGATAGACAGAGAGATAAACTAGATATACATGATATCGAGTTATTTATTTATCATGTTAGAAGCAAATGGAGTATACAGTTATAATGCACACAAAAACCACAAACCAAGTTAAAAACTTGACATTATACTACATGTCCTTTGACCAGAAGCTGGCCACTTGGAGTGCCTCTGGTGTCGCTGTGAGAAGGTCCTCCATTGTGCATGTGGCAGGTCTCAGACTGCATTGTAGTAGGTGGTCTGTGGTTTGCTCTTTTCCACACTCGCATGTCGTGGACTCCACTTTGTGGCCCCATTTCTGAAGGTTGACTCTGCATCACGTGGTGCCAGAGTGCCGCCTATTCAGCACCTTCCAAGTCATCCACTCTTCTGTGTGTCCAAAGCGGAGTCTCTCATCTGGTATCAACCATGGATGGAGCTTCCGAGTTTTAGCCTGCCACTTTTGGACTCTCGCTTGCTGAGGTGTTCCTGCGAATATCTCTGTAGATCTTAAGGAAGCTTTTTATTGATTTAAGGCATTGGCATGCTGGCTGATATCCAAACAGAGGATAGGCCAGAGATGTCACTGCCTTGGTCCTTTCATTGCTGGCTGCTACTTCCCAGCGGATATCAGGTGGTGCAATACTGGCTAAAGGGTATAACTTCTCCAGCAGTGTAGGGCATAGACATCCTGTGATAATGTGGCATGTCTCATTAAGAGTCACATCCACTGTTCTAACATGGTGAGATGTATTCCACACTGGGCATGCATATTCAGCAGCAGAGTAGCACAGCACAAGGGCAGATGTCTTCACTGTGTCTGGTTGTGATCCCCAGGTTGTGCCAGTCAGCTTTCATATAATGTTATTTCTAGCACCCTTTTTTTCTTGATAGTTAAGCAGTGCTTCTTGGAAGTCAGGGCACTGTCCAGAATAACTCCCAGGTATTTGGGTGTGCTGCAATGCTCCAGTGGGATTCCATCCCAGGTCATCCTCAGAGCTCGAGATGCTTCTCTGTTCTTAAGATTGAAAGCACACATCTGCATTTTTAGATGGATTAGGAATCAGCTGGTTTTCCCTGTAATAGGCAGTAAGAGCACCTAAAGCTTTGGAGAGCTTCTGTTCAACTATTTCAGAGCTCCCTGCTTGAGTGGTGATGGCATGATCGTCAGCATACATGAAACTCTCCGTTCCTTCTGGCAGTGATTAATATTTTGTGTAGATGTTAATCATTGATGGAGCAAGCATTCTCCCCTGAGGCAGGCCATTCTGTTTTCGCCTTCTGACCCTGGAACTCAACAAAAAAGCTCCTGTTTTGTAGCAGATTTCCTATTAAGCGGGTGAGGTGGTAATCCTTTGTGACATTATACATTTTTCTCAGGAGTAGGCAATGATTTAGATAGATGACGTTGATAGATATTTGGATAGATAGTGAAGAAAGACCATATATAGACAATATAAATAGATGAATGGATAGATAGAGCGATAGAGAGATAAACTAGATATATATGATATAGATAGATGATACTGATAGATAGTTGCATACATACATAGATGAGCTAGACAAGATGTGAACAATACAGATCAAGAGAGGCGGGTAAACTTAATATAGATGATACAGAGATCCTTTCCAACTCCAATACTGCATAACAATGAGCTCTCCATCTTTGGAGGTGATCTCTTCCAACTCTCCTGCAAGTGGGTGACCCTTCTTCAAAGGTCTTTAAACAGAGTTTGTATGGCCATCTTTGGGGAGTGCTTTAGTTGTGCCTTCTGGTCTGGCCCAAAACAGCTGGACTAGATGAGCCTTGGAGATCCCCTTCTAATTCTATGGTTCTATGATAGTAGAGTAAACAACCTCAGCTTTGGATTCTCCTTCTTTAGAGGTCTTTAAACAGACTTTTTCCATGGCCAGCTTTGGCGAGTTCATTATCATCATCATTATCATTGTCATCATCACCATCATATCTTGCTTTCCTCTCTTAATGAAGTCCCAAGTGGCTTTTAACAACATTCTGTGTTAATGCGGCATGTCTCAATGAGAGCCACATCCACTCTTCTAACGTGGTGAGATGTAGTCCACACTAGGCATGCGTACTCAGAAGCAGAGTAGCCAAGCGCAAGGGCAGATGTCTTCACTTCTCTCAATGAAGTTCCAAACGGATTTTAACAACATTAAACTAGATATAGATGATATAAATCAGGCGTGGACAAACTTTGGCCCTCTGGATGTTATGGACTTCAATAATTCCTAACAGCTGGTAGGCTGTTGGGAATTGTGGGAGCTGAAGTCCAAAACACCTGGAGGACTGAAGTTTGCCCATGCCTGATATAGATGGATCTATCTATCTATCTATCTATCTATCTATCTATCTATCTATCTATCTATCTATAGATACATACATAGATTAGATAGATAACAAGATATAGACGATATAGATAGATAGAAAGAGAGATAAACTAGATATAGATGATATATAGATAGAAGTTATTGATGGAAAGAGATAGAGAGATAAACTAGATATAGATGATATAGATAGATGACACTGAAATAGCGGGATAGAAAGAGAAAATAGATTTAGATATGTAGATGACATTGATAGATGAATACATACATACATAGATAAAAAAGACAGAAAGAGATACTAGATAGATGGACAGATGAGATAGACAGAGTGACAAGACAGAAAGATGAGGGATAGATTGAAAGAGATAGATAGATAAATAGATAGATAGATAGACAGACAGACAGACAGATAGATGAGGCAGATAGAAATGAGGGATAGATTGAAAGATATAGATAAGAGAGAGATGATAGAGAGAGAGAGAGAGAGTGAGACAGACAGACAGGTGAAAGAGATATATGATTGATAGATAGATAGATAGATAGATAGATAGATAGATAGATAGATAGATAGATCAGATAGAAATGAGGGATAGATTGAAAGATATAGATAAGAGAGATGAGAGAGATGATAGATAGATAGATAGATAGATAGATAGATAGATAGATAGATAGATGATAGATAGATGAGATAGAGAGACAGACAGACAAGTGAAAGAGATAGATGATTGATAGATAGATAGATAGATAGATAGATAGATAGATAGATAGACAGACAGACAGACAGACAGACAGACAGACAGACAGACAGATAGATAGATAGGACAGATAGAAATGAGAGATAGATTGAAAGATATAGATAAGAGAGAGGTGAGATAGATGATAGATAAATAGATGAGATGGTCTGACTTGGCCACGGTGGTACACGCTCTGGTCACATCCCGCCTTGACTACTGCAACGCTCTCTACGTGGGGCTGCCCTTGAAGACGGCCCGGAAGCTTCAGCTAGTCCAGCGTGCGGCAGCCATGTTACTAACGGGAGCAGGA